CAAGAGTTTGAGATGTACTTGGGTAGACCAGATTGGGGGTAAAGAGAACTTGTCGAACAGATGTGGGCAGCTTCGTTTTCCAGGTGGCAATTTGAAGCTTCAGCTCGTTCATCTGCTCAACAGTAATCCGTGAAGGGTCGATTTTGACACGGGGCCGTTGCACTGGGTGCAAAGGATATTCAATCCAACCGTTGCAAAGGGTGGTGAGATTCACTTTTGTAACGACTGGACGGTGATCGGAATAAGGGACCCCCTTTTGACGTTCCCAAGTGAGAACCTCAGAGCGATCACAGTGCCCTGCCGGAAAACTTGTGAATATCTTGTCTAAAATAGATCGGTAGCGGCAGCTGTGTGTCGAAAATGTAAAGTCGTGAACAGCCGTCAGTTTGTCGAATGCCATAGGGTCGAAAAGCGGCATACCGGTGAGGTTCATTCGCTGCAAGAAGCGTTTTAAATAGTGGTTACGCGGAGCTGCGTCAGTGTTTGGAGGGTCAGAGCGGTAGATGTCGCGCTCTATATCAACACAACTATTCCAGTCACCAACCAGAAGAAGATGTCGGTTGGTATCGGCATGAATGACCGGGGCCAAAGTGGTCACATAGCTTGTAAAGTTGGACCAAAACGCATGTCTTAGATCATCACGTGCGGGAGCATAGGTCTACCCCTAAGAGATCAAGAGTGAGGATTCCGGAAGTGCGGGTCGGAATACTAAGAATGCCATGAAGGACCCGAGCTTTGAAAACTGTGTTGTCCAAAGCCACTGACTGATAGGCGAGACCAGTGCGTACGGCAATACAAACGCCCCACTCCCGTGAACGGACTGGTAGAAAGAACGAAGTGTGTGAGGCATCCGTGTACGATGAAAAATGAAAAGTATAACCATCCGATGTGTGACTCTGCTTGCTTCGTTCGACCCCAATTGTGCGCTGTGTTTCGGTAAGTACCGCTAGATGGACATCGTGTTGTTTAAGTAAAGCTGGTAGGTGTGCAAGCTTGGAGTTAATACCTTGGCAGTTCCAGTTTAGGATGTTCAAATGGCCCGACTGATGAGGAGGGGGAATGTCAGTGGTGGAACCTTGTGCTGCGTTATTGGGAGTGGGATGAGGCGGGTGTTCAATAGAAGTCATCGTGGCACCGGTAGGCAACGGCCCGGGATTGGGCTCAATATCGCCTGCGCGCAGCAAAAGAAGAGATGCAAGGAACAGTAAGCAGGTTGCAAGCAGAGTGAGCCAACGGGTAGCCAGAGTTTGTGAATGGACAAATAATATATGAAGGCGCAGCAACTTGCAGGAGAGATGGTGCAAATACCAGGTATAAGTTATTAGGTGGTATATGATAAAAGTGTGCAGGCGGCTGCATACCGACCATGTGGAGTCAAGACAGTGTCGAAGAGGACGAGAAAGGAACGCACTGTAGAAGCTAACAGCTAGGAATGGCAGAAGGTACATGAGACCGAGAGCCGGAAGTAAGCATAAGCATGGAGGTGCAAAAGAAATTAATTCAAGGTGTAGAGCGACTGTGGGCCAGCCCACTAACCATAAAGAGGCATGCCAGTGCTCAGGATGAAGTGAGTCAGCATTATGGGCAAGGGCTGTGGAATAACTGCTGAGCATATTGTCAATATTGTGTGCAAGGTGCACAAGGTAGCGGGGAGGCTGCCATCTCTTCGAGAAGCATTTTCGTCGGCGCACGTTATTTGGTTGGACGAGGGAGGTGTGAGAAAATCCGTGTGGGCCCAGTGAGTGCACTTTGGATATGCTAAGATAGAGCATGATACAACAGAGTAGTATGCGGTGACGGTAAGTAATTTGTAGACGCATGTAGCGGCGCATACGAGATTTAACAGAGCGCGCATGGCGAGACTGGCGGCATGAGGATCGTGAACTATATTCGGCAAGGAGGTTGTTAAACAGTGCGGAGCCTGGTCGTAGGCGTAGTATTAAAGCCAGGTGGTAAAACATGATGGGTAATGATATAAGGCTCGTAAGTAAAACCGACATGCAGATAGAAGGTCGCGCTACAAGCAAATGCGACTGGACGTCTACGCGAATGAGAGTGAAAGCAAGGCGCCCAAAGATCTGCCGATGGTATAAAAGCCGAGTTAGCAAAAGGCTATTTTGATAGAGTTCTGCAAGTTGGATGCCAGCTTGTAATAGTGCAGTGGGAGAGTGCTTCGGTTTTGAGGGATACAATGTTCGACAAGAGAATCCAGGAGCAAGCAGCGAGCTTGCAGGCCCCACTAGTTCTGGAAGAGGGCCAATGTGCGCTGCATCTAGTCCTGCAACACGCACAAGGGATCGTTGAGTTAAGGAATGGAACCGATGGGAGGTGGTGCAAATAAGATGCAGGGAGTGATTTGAAAGGCAATAAGCATCAGGAAACTCAGAAATTCGACAAGTGCAAGAACAGAATCTAGGCCCGGTGATTGGAGAGACACGAGAAAGGTCCAAAGGCGGTGCAACAGCAGGGAAGGATTGTACCTGCTGCATCGAGTCCCCGACCTCTTCGGCAAGAGTGACGACGGGGGCCGACGGGGCGGGGCGCTTGCGGGAGTTATGCGCGTCAACTTGAGCGATGTGCGCAGGCGCAAGCCATTGGCTCAGAAGCCCGGCTTGCTTTTGGGGTGCAGTCAAATTGCGCTTGACCTGGCAGGTGTTGTACTCGAAGGCCAGCTGAGCACGGCAGATCTGTGTCCCCACAATGAGGCCCGGCGACTGGGCGATGCTGAGAAGCACCGCTTGATCGCCTGACACGTAGTAACAGTGGACGCGGTTGCGGCCGTTGAGGATCTCCACTGCCCGGTTCTCGGGAGCGCCGGCGCGGATGGGAATGGAGTAACGTTTGCGGGCTTCTTCGAGGCTCTCCTCCAGCTGCAGAAGGAGGGAAGGCAGTGAGCAACGAGGAAACAGTGAGAAAAGTGGAGGGGCTAATCGTGAGAAGGTAAGGCCTGATTTTAGTTTCAGAGTGGACGCAAGGTGAGGTGAGGCAAGAATCATGGATGCAGAATTGAGGCAAAAAGGTGCACAGGAAGGGGGGAGCAGGTGTTTCAAGCTAGGGGCGGGCGCTCGCAGAAGGGTGGGGGAAAGACCTACCTGCTTGGTGTCCTCGACGTGGAATGCCGCGGGGGGCAAGATGACGAGCGAGCCAATGCGATCAAAGAGCGGCAGGCCCTTGATGGTGAGGGTGAAGCTGGAAGCTTCATTCTCAGGTGCAGTAATCGTGATAGGATCGAGAATCAGCGACGACCACTGCATAAACGCCTGCAGATAGGTGAGAGAAAGTGGTAAGTAGGTACGAAGCTCGTGCGGCGTTAGGGACGAGCAAGCGTAGAGGTTCTGTGCCGAAGAGAGAGAGGGAAACGGACAGGAAACAATGGAAAACCCGGTAAAACAATTTCCTGGACAGGGAAGCCTATAGAGCTGCAAAAACAGCCCTGGGCAGCGCTGCACCGAAAAATCCGGAAAGCTGCCGCTGAACCAGGAAAACGCAGCATAGTCAGAAGCTTGGAAGGCAAGAAAAACAGGGACGGTTGCCTTGAAGAGAGAAGACCTGAGGTAGTGACTTAATAAGCTTGCAGAGGGGAGGATGCGAGGTACCTGGACGTGGACGATCAGCTTGTGCTCAAGGCGTGTTGCTCGACGAGTCGCTGTCCTCGCGCAGCGGTTTAACGGTAGCACCTGGCGCGCGTGCAGTCACAGCGGAGGTGAGGGCCGTAACAAGCTCCTTCACGGTCTTGAAGCCAGTGGGGCCGACGGTCCCGTTAGGGATATTGACTCTTTGCTGCAGGGGGTGCTTCTCGCTGGCGATGTACTGCGCGGGGCAGACCTGAAAGGGAGCAAAGAAGAAGGAGATATCAGTGAACGGACAAGAGAAAGCAGTGGTGTGAGGGTGGTGTCCTATTTGTCTTTGCCACCGTTGATGCTCGTTGATGATGTGCTTTCCAGAGCATAAGTGGCAGGATAGTAAGCAAAAATGTGAAAGCTCGTTGTCACCTGACGAAGTTAAGAGAAAGAGAGAGACATGTGCCAGACTAGTTGGGGCCTGGGGTTGAAGGAAGAGAGGTGAAGTTTCGAAAGGGCACTGATCATGGCAGAGGGGAGGGGAGCAGAAGCTCTGTTTGATGCATACTTTTAGAGAGTGAGATGTGCACCAGGGCGTCAAGGAACGAGAGGGAGGCAACGGTGGGGCATACGGTGAACAGCCAGAGAGGAGTAGAGAAAGGGGGGCTTTCAATGCCACATTTAAAGCACAGCGCAATGAAACCGAATAATACAAAGAGTGGCTTGAGAAAGGCAGGAAGGGGAGAGAACTCACGTCGTAGACCTCATCAAGTGCAGCGAGCCCCTTGTGGGCACTGTCAGCAGAGCGAAAGTAGAGCTCCTGGTACGGCTTGCCAGAGTCTGCTGCCATGGTGTTAATGGCCTTGATAGACCCCAGAATCTCGAGAGCGCGGCACGTCTCCTCAACGTCAGCCTGAGAAGGGGGGTTAAAGAGCCAGACGACGTGCATGTCCGCAAGGGCGGAGTCGTAAACATGAGGGAGGCGGCTACTGGGCCTCTGGGGCTGAGAAACAGGAAGAGCTGGACGAGCAGGGTGCTGGGTGCAAAACTCCTGGAGCTGAAGTGGACCGTCCACTAGCTCAACGGCAGAGGCGAGAGGCGCAAAGACGATCATTGGCTGAGACGGCTTAGTGGTAACTGGCTGCTCCGACCCGTCTGCGCCGACCACAGTAACAGATGTGCGAACGCCTGTCTGTGCAGCTAGCTTGACGTTAGAATGAACGCCAGCAATTTCAACTGCGCAGTAGCGGACGGGGTAGGGGGGGTCGGTGGTATCGTCAGAGGAAAGCAGCGGGGACTCGAGATGATGGAAGCGAATGGCACGAATGCGCTGGCCTGGCTTCAGTGCGAGCGAGTGGTCGCCCTGCATGACGCCGCCATGTTCAGCTGCTGTGGTCGAAAGGTTAGGCACCAGTGCTGGGCCAAGCTTCCCGCTTGTGCAAGCAGCGGTGAAGGTGGCAATGGAGTTGGTAGCATGCGTGCCCGTCAGGAAAGGGTTATCTGTGCGGCGAGACAGTGTTGTCAGCGCCGCAGGGGAAGCCCAGGGTTTGAGAGGCGTAGCCATGCTGGCTGGAGGAACCTGGGTGAAAAGAAGATTGGCGCAGGGTTCAATGAAGTTGCAAGGAGGGAAAGAAGGAAGGGTCAAGAGAAAGTTGGGCAAGATGGGAAAAGTGAGTACGAGCTTGAACAATGTTTGAAACTTGAGACCCATGTGGAAACTGGTGGCAGTGCAAGCATTGCTAGCTAAAAGGTGGGGCACAGAAACATTAGCCTGATCAATTTGATGTGGAACCCTAATTTTCTTGCACGTTGCGAAGCAAGAGAAGGAGGTGGGAGTTACGAGGACGGAGACGGGGTAGATAGAGATTGGAACAAAGAGTGTGCCTATTCCGGTTTTAAGAAGGCCTGAAGGGTTTACAGAGAGTGTGGAGCTGGATGATTGTAGAGAATCATGGAAATGGGTAAGCAAGGTGTTGTTTTGGAAAGAAGCAGACAATTGGCAGAGGGTTTCAGCTTGTACTGCCAGTAGGCGAGAGAGTGGTAGGGATGCAATTACATGAAGACTTAAAAACAGCAAAATGAGAAGCAACACAACCCTAAGGACAATTACCACAACGACACGCAATGCAAGACAGGTATGTTCTATACAAGAGCTCTCAGTTGAATGGCTTGGCAGTCGGTTTGTTTTCTTATGGCAGTCATCCTGGCAGGGTGGGTCAGTCAGCTTGCTTGTAGCCAGCGTAAAGTTGGTACAAAGAAAGCCGCGAAAACCTGCCAAAACGCGCAAGAAAGCAGCCGCGAGCCAAACAACGGGGAGGCGAGCTGCCATAAGGCAGGACAACATACCTGGAGCTGCGGTAGGTGCGTGGGTGCCTCAAGATCTGTGGGGCATTCCCCCTATGAGCTAGCCGAGCTGAAAAGCGCCCTTGCAGCAAAGCGCCAGACTGTCGAGCTGGTCAAGTTGGGAATGCCCACTGTTAGATACGATATCGTGCAACAATACCACCAACGATGACCTCTAGCTATCCCTTTGCAGGCCGCCGGGGCCTGCAGGCAGGCTGGCAGGCTAGCTACTAGGTAAGGCTTAGGCTGCCCAAGCTTCCGCCCAGCTTAGCTCAGCTCGGAAGAATCCAAAGCCTAGCTCGCAACGTCTCTGATTTTATATATGAAAGAATTCTGCCCGTATTCTGAAGAGGCGCATGTAATCACTGGTTCGGAGACTCGGAGGCTCGGCCATCGAGGCGGCCATCCAGCCGCAATCACAGAGAATCGTAGGACCAATTAACGACGTGCAATGATTGATTTAGGTAATGCCTCCAACATATGATGACAATGATGAGTATAACGTCGACGTCTCGACACACAGGAGCCGGGACTCCCGAATCTCTGATCTTTCCACCGTGAGCTGACCATATGATCGGCTCACCACCGCTACAGCTTGGAACAAACTGTATAATTCGTCCATGCCAAAAAGCCTGGAGAGGACGGCTTCGACCCTTGAATATCGAAGTTGCAACTTTCCTAAGCATTGCTGTGATCCGGTTTGGAGCATGATGAACGTTGCAGACAACCTGAGAACAGTCCTTGAAGTTCAATGTCGGTTGTCATAGTTAAAAGGACAGAAAGGAATTGGAATACTTAGCTATGCATATGATTGCCTAGCAGCTGACTGAGGAGGAAAACAAGTACTCAACGTACACTCTCGATTGAGGGAGCGATCAGGGGCAAGGATTCTGACGGGTCCCAGCTGGGAGGACCAACCAGCCGCCTGTTGTAGCCCAATGCAAAGCTGGCCGGTGGGACTTTTCAAATCATGAAAAGGCGCGTGACGCAAAGTTCGACCACTGAATAACCGTAAGCAGCTTGTCCATCTTTATCCAGTACCGTTTTCGGAAGCCTGCGCGAGCGATATATATGGGCGTGGACTTTCAATCCTATAGCATATCGTGACGGTCGATTGGTGTGTAAGCTCGTCTCCAAGAACTCAACAAGAGAGTTAGACATTTGAGGTTCGACGCACCAAGTAGCAGAACGGTTTCAAACTGTCAATAAACTCGCAACCATTAAGCAAATGCCTTTCATTTTTGGTGCCTACAAAACTCAAGCCAAGGCCCCTAAACCAGCTGAACGTGTAAACCGTCTCGAACTCATTCCTGTGTTCAGACCCTGCCTCATCCTGGCGCGCTATCGTATTCGACTAAAACTCCGGATCTATCACAAGCCACCTGACCCCCTGTTTACACACACCCCCAGAGAACAGTATCGTCGATCTTTCGATCAGTAGCACCCTGCCCCGCCCCACCTTTCGACCGATTCTACCCGTCCAGTCTTGCCTTCCGATAGCCATGAGGCACTAGCTGCTTTCTCAACAGCTGAGTTCCGCAATCTAATCTCTCGTTTCCTGCTTAAAACTCCGAATACAAAATCTCCTGAGAACGGCGCGAACGCGGGGTTTGAGCAACAGAAGCCCTACTAGAAATCTGCACTCCCGTCTTCGCTGGGCGACTCAGACACAGGCAAATCTTCCTCGATCGCTGCCTTTCGCAAAGCCCCTTCTAATTCTTGATAAGACCCCTTCGCCCTCTCTTCTGCATTAAAATTCTCTCTAACACTCCTTCCCTGTCCCGTTTCCGACCTGGCTACGACTTCCGTTGGCGGCGACGTCTTCATGATTTCCCGGCACGTCTGGTCGCCCTTTTCCGGCGAAGCTTCCGTTTCCGGCGGATCAACGAATATCATCGAAGCCCAGATCTCTGAGCCACACCTTTCCGCTTCCGTCGCCCCAGACTTCGCTCCGGTGTGAACGGATTCCGTCCCCACGTCTGATAGCGCACTCTTCTCCTCCTCCCCAATCACAATCATGGACGCCAGCATGTGTTCCGCCGGAGCGCCGCATCCTTCCGCCGGAACGTTCCGATACCCGACCGTCTCCCAGTCTTCTTCGGGCCCGGTGTAAATGCTTCCGCTGCCGAGCTCTCCACTCTTGGCACTGCACTTTGGGGGGGCTTTCACACTGGACGGGAAGAACCCCCCGAACCAGGTTGACTGCTTCTGCGCGGTCCGCTTTTCTGTTGCGTGCGCGTTCTGGCGGGCCGTTCCGCTCGAGGGGACGCTGACTGGCGCGGAAGCTGCTGGGTGCATCTGCAAATGAGGAAATAATGGCTTCCAGAAATATAGCAAATGCAGACTCTTAATTGATTACAGGGAATACGCGCTGTGTTCTTCCAGAACAACTGGTGAAGTTGAGAGTATGAGACCGGTATCGAAGGGATGTAGGAAGGCGGTTTGATCTCGATTCTCAGGGCCTCGCTGAAGGAGGGTGTCAGAAAAGGTTAAGAATCGCAAAACGCAGGTCAGCACAACTGCTCGAGAGCTAAAACACCGTGAGCCTCGACTTCCCCGTTCTATAGTCAGATTCCTTCGAATGTCATTGCATGCTCGACATCTTAGAAAAATCTGTTGTTCGGACAAGGAGTAGAGAGGAACAGCAAATTCTTCCATCGCCCTTATCTCCTGCACACGAATGAATAAAATCTGAGATTCACAAATCACCTCTATTGGATTCCTTATTACATTCAGTGAACATCTCATCACATTATTGGATCTCGTCCATCGAAGAGTCTGCTAGAACCTTTCTGTTGTGGGGAAGTCACGAAGTATGTATCTCGGCGGGAGCAGAAGCAAAAACTTGGAGTTCTGCTTCTCTTCCTTGACGTCAGAGACTGCCCAATGATGCCACCGAATACAAGAATAAGGTGTGGGTTGTGTCTAAACAGATTCTGTCGACGCCGACTTTGCGGAGCTGCCCTTTGCCTCACAAATTGCCTCTTTGGGCGTTAATTCGCTGCTTCTCCCTTTTTTGTCGTGCTTTTCAGTATCAGGTTAGAAGTGCCCACCTGCTTCCCGGTGTTCAAAACAGCGCTCAGATCCGCATCCCCAGTGAAGTCCCCCGAACCAATCTTCCGGCCCAGCTCCCTCAGAATCTCAGAGTTGCGCTTGACACCGCCATTCTGAGGCTTCGCATCTGCTCGGGGACTCGTACCGGGCTCGCACTCTCGAGCACCCTGAGAACTGCCGCCGCGTTCAGGTGGCGCTAGAGTCGTCTGCGCAATGCTCTCTTCACAGGGGCCTGTCTCGCAGTCCGAGTCTTCCTCTTCGGATCCAAGCTCCTTCCTGGGCGACTCTGGTTTTGTTCCAACTTTGCTGTCTTGTGAAATTACGTCCGCTTCAGAACCGGATCCAAGATCCTCTCTGTTGGAATATGACTCGTTCCCAGCCTTCCTCTCTTCGGAAGCATCCGCTTCGGAGCCGCTTGCATTCCCACCGACTGAATCCGTGACTGCTCGGTCATCTTCACCGGGCTCCAAATCACCCCCGCCCACCAGAGCCAATTTTTCGCTCTCTTTCTCCCCGGGCTCTTCTCCGGTCTCTCCAGGCGCCTTTTCGTTCTCCTCAACAAAGCATGCACGTAGCAGCAAAGCTGAGCACAGCCCACCGGCGATGACCCCCAGAAATCTGATGAATACAATCATCCTCGCGGGTATTTGGGAGCCCAATGCTTTCAGCCAGGTCTGCGGGCAAAATGCAGCTCAGAGAATCACAACTCCTAGAATCTGATTGAACGTCGCAAACCCTGGAAAGCCTGTTCTGCAGCCAAATCGACGGCGCAGCACTTGAGGGTTCTTGTTTGCAAAGGGATACGAGGTCTTAAGCTCCAAGCTACGAGAAGCAGAATCTTGCCTACAATCTTGGCAGATTGAACGAACGCTACCAGAGCCTAGGGTTCTGTGTTGCCCTCTGAGCACTTTGTGCAGCTTCCGCGACCCGAATACTTTCTTCAAGAGGACCCAGCAAAGGCTTCGTGCGCTTTTGCTCCGAACGCTGCGCACGGCTACAGCTTTACCATTCTTTCAAGATCTAGCGAAAACAACGCCTCTTAGCGCTCGGATTTGTAGCCGACAATCCCATTTTTTGTAATCCTGCCTTGCCAGATCCGCTATTTGCGCGAGTACAATACGTGGTTTCACTCACCGCAGGGACATGCCGTTTCTGGCTTCACTTTTTGATCGTGAAAAGATTGATGGGCGGAACGCGAGCCCAGCTCATTTGACCACCCCTCTGACCTGTCCTCAGTCAAAGACATATGAAAGGCAACCGTTTTTATTATCTTTACAAGATCATGCGGAAAACGTTGATCGAAAACTTTGGCAGCTGCGCGAAGATGTACGGTCACGCGACGCCGTCAATCCAAGAGACCACGTGTCTGCCTATGAAGCCGGCGAGGTTCAGGGTTTCGGCAGGTGACGATCGGACATGCCCGCAGCCGCCCCGGCCGGGCGCCTTTTGTACGGTCGGGCGGGCGCCGGATACTTCAACGCTTCGAGGCTCATTTGGCGCCGTTTGGGAACCTTCTGATACAAACGGGTGATTGCTGGCAAGCAGAGACGCGCTTGCGAGTTGGCCCTGAACATCTGGCCACGCAAATGCGTGCTTCTCTCGCAAGGATTATCTAGGCTGAGCCTGGAAGCCAACGGCGATCTTTTGAACCAGTGAGTTTCACATTTTTGGATGCGCGTGCATGCACGGCTTTGATCAAATAGTCACGGCGGCATGAACCCATCACAATGGAGACTAGGGGAGTCCCGTTGGACGAGTTCGTGGCAGCCAGTGCAAGGAACGAAGATGAAGTGGATGTCAACTTACCACAAACCCTTACCGTGCCTTACGCCAGCTGCCCGGCTGATGACCTGATTGAAAGCAACCGTTGAACATTTATTTTTTGAATGATAGCTTCTAGCTGGAACGTCATGCAAGCATGTTCTTATGCTCACGTTTATGGTGAGGGGCCATGCCGGTCCGACGATATTCGACTATATGGCCTACCCAGATCCTGCTAGGTCAATAGCATCAAACATGCATGCAAGATCCTACCGTACTTTTCTGGCCGGCCGGGGCGCCCAGCTGCACATGCCAGCCAAGTACATCCGAGACACGAGGATATCGGCGATGTACGCAATCCAGAACTTATAAAGGTGACCTTCAGTACAATAGGATTTGCTTATTGGCAAATACTCGGCAAGCATATCTTATGTCGGCGGCTGTATCTGTTCGTTGATCCGTCTTCTTTGATGCGTTCCCAATCGGGGACAACAGTGAAATTTATGTGGTCAATTCAGACATATGCAATCATTACGATTCGATCGACATAATATGTCCCCCCCGCACGCATGTACCTAAGCCCGTCCAAACCATCATGATGACGGGCCGCCTGAAACGTATTGCGCTGCTGGCAATGATGCCAGAGCGAACCAACTGGGAGGCTGAACGGGTGGTTTTGACAAACTTTTTGTTGTCCAATCTGCTTGCAAGCTTCGTCGTCATCATAAAGGAGGGCATATGAGCACATTCCTGAGAGCGTGTTCGTTCTATTTAATTACCTGCACCGTCCATGCATCTTTCGATCTCATTCCTAGGCTGACTCGTTAAGGTACAAGCGGCAAAAGCGAGCACCAGATCAGCAAACACTACTTGAGCACAGTCCGGACATAAGTAACTCACACCCGAACCGGAGCTGTGCATATGATCACGCAGAAGCGGAGCCTCCTGCATCTAGCAAAGAATCGAGATACTCGCCTGTGCTTGAGACTAAAACGATACAGCTTATATTGCAAGGGATTGCCCGCCGTTCAAAGTACTGCCAGAAAGAGTGCCTTTGCTCAGGCAGCGCCCTCAGTAGAGAAACTCGTCGTAGACTCGGTCTACGTCCTCGTCCCACTCGTTGTGATATTTGTCAAGCAGGACATCAGCGGACGTCACTCCTGCAGAAGAAGAAGGCACTTGTTCAGAGGGCGTGAGATATGCACACCTTTTACTATTAGAACCCACTTGTCTGAGTACGTGTCCGTTGATATTTCAGCGCCGTCGGAGTCTGCATATCTGTTCCTACTTCGAACTTGTCCCGCGCAAATGCCTCACCTTTTCGTGCGATGTCCTCCAGACCCTTCAGGAACTCAGCCTCGTTGAAGCCGCGTCGCTCCAGGCCCTCCTGTGGAAAGCAAGCAAACAGACTGTCAGCAACGGTTCTAGTATGCACGTAAATGCTCCTATAAGCGTGACCTCCAAGTCCTGTTCCAACAATGCACAAATGGCAAACCCAGACAACGGGAACGAATCAAAGCACTAAGCCATTTAGCATAAACCACACAAATGCGTACGCTGGGCAGTAACAGGCTTTTCAGATTGGAAGTCTTTGTACGCTAACCAATGCGACTTGGAAAGGACTTTGAGCAAACTGACTTCTCCAGAGGGCGCGCAATAATGCACGGTACTCAGGAAGTGCACCTCTCGAAGCTTGCAGCTTTCAAGCCGCTCCGAATCAAAACGCGTTTTTTGGGAGCTCACCCGCGCGAGCTTCAGGACAGTGGCCGTGCTGTCAAAAAGAGTTGCGTGTACATGCACTTGATGATCCCCCCTCTGTGCTGTTACGATGTCATGTTCTGTACGGTATGCAAAAGGAGGGTCCTCGAACGCTCACCCTCGCAAGCTTGAGAACATCCTGTGCCACGTGGCGGACCATGCCGTCGCGGAAGGGCGTGCGCAGGCCGGTGACCGGGACCTTGTCGCGCAGCATTTGCATCTCGCCAGTCGTCCAGTCGGAGATCAGGTCCAGGCAGCCTTGTAGCGACTCCTCGTCGTACAAAAGCCCGACCTGTGACGGGGGAAAGGAGAAAAGGATTTTGGTACACTGAGGTTGATCCTGCTTGTGGACGACTACGGTTTTGAATAGAGGGTTCAAACAGTCGGGGTTCGGGTCCAGGCACCCTTGAGAGCGACTCCTTGTCAAAACAAAGGTCCGACCGCCCCAGCTGCGATGGGACAGAGGCAGTGCGGATTGAAAATCTACTCTACACCTTTCATTAAACGGTTCATCACTAGGCAACGGTTGCGTTCCAGCTGAACATTCCAATGTGGTCGGGACGGCAATTATCATGGTTGCCGCTCTAGAGTATGCTAAGGTGACGTGTTCTGCGCAGAGAGTGGGGCAAAGCAATCGGGAGGGGCTACAGTAGATGGCGTCCTCCGATCCACCGCCTTTTGGGCGACTGAGAGTCAGGGGAATCACTTTGGTAGTCGCTTGCAGCAAGGACTGGGTGACCGTGATTGGGACACCCCTGTTTCCAGAAGGAGCCCGAGACTTTCTTCCAATACAGAGGGGTGCGGGAAAGGAAAGGGGGGAGCTTATCAAGCAGAAAGGCCTTCATGACACGATTTAAGGAGGACTTCTTGTAATAAAAGGATGGAAACAATATTGGGCGAAACGACTGGCCCGACAGATTATGAAACAGCGGATTCCCTTCAGCAACCTTCTTTGCAGCACAAATCTGAGAAACCAGATGTGGAATGCACTCGGTTGAGCGTTATCCTTGCCCCACAAGGTGGTGTGTTTCAAGTTGAGCCCTCTAGCAACAGCTCGAGAGTTCCAGACCCGATGTATAAATCCTCGTAACATCCAGCTCTCACACACCGATGATGTAAGGAAAGTCTGCTTCCATGAAACATGATGCAGGCCTTTCTAAAACCGACTCGGAAGATGGGAGTGACAGCGGTACGGAGGCCCTTCTAACCGCCTCCTTCTCGACTCACCCACATGGCCGACTGCCCCAGAATCAGGTCTACACACCCATTATCCGCCCCCCGCATTTCAATGTACCGTTTCAGTCGCACCTGCAGCATTCGGACGAGGAAAAAGACGGTGCGTGAGCAGAGCGGTCCGGGGTTTAGGGTTTGCGGGGACATACCCACAACGCGGGCAGCGCGCACAACGACTTCCACGGGCCCGCATCCGCGCCGCGCATCTCGATATATTTCTTCAGGCGTACCTGCGGCGAGAGTGGGGCGGGTAAGAGGCGGCCTACTGTGCGTGGAATGGGCTTGGAGGTACGTTTTTGCGAGCGTTTGGGTGCTCATGAGTATGTGCGATGTAAATGTTGCCAATGGTTCGAGAAAGTTTTCTCATCTCGGACTTGGGCGGATTCTAGATGGCGTGGTCACAAAGGGGTTCGTCTCGGGAGACATTCAATCCGAGGCACTTGCTGCGTCAAATACGTCGCTTTTGAAATATCTCTTGGCAGCAATGGTTGAAGTGAGGGGATTGATTGGTTGTGTGTGGACCAGTTTGGCGACTCTCAAGTGATGTCCACATTTGCCTCCGATAGCGATACGTGTCATCCCTGGCTAAACGCAAACCACGGCTGTCGATAGCGCCGAGCCTTGACAATTGAGAATCACGTCAGAAGGGATGAACTAATATCGTTTTTCAGTGCCACGTGTCTGGCCCTTAAATAAGGCCGCAAAGAACTGTTCAAAGCCAATCAAAAGGAAGATGAGATTCACAGCAAAAATGTTCCTCGAAACATCACAGGTCCGACACAGGTCGAATATGAGGTGAGTTTCTTGACAGCTGAAATTAAGGTCTCTGTCGTGGCGGCCTGCAAGGCTGGATTGTGATCAAAGGCTCCTTCGTATAGCTTGCACCGTACAAATACACATCCACTCAATGGTCCACTAGAGCAGTAGGGCAAACAATGGTGCTGATTTGACGATGGAGAAGATGGGAGTTCACAACCGTCCTAGGAGTACGGGGATGTGAGGAAGTTGGCCGCGCTTTGCTTACCTCGGGGAAGATGGTGGTTAGGTGGTTTTCCCAATCGTTGATTGTCGGATACTCTCCGGGCAGGGCCGACAATTTGCCCGCCATGAAATCCTAGCCACGTGGCAGAGCGAAACAGGTTAGCAGATGACACTGGGAGCGGGTGTGGTTTACAGTAGGTTTGACAGTAGGTTTGAATCTTAAATCATCCCGGCTACGTTTGTGCCAGTGATGATTGATCGATACGATCTCGGTGGATGCACCACCGGAATGGGAAGTCAAGCGATCAAAAGCTGCATGTTGGGACGTAATGTCACCGATAAGGTATGCCAGGTGTCTGTAGGCATCGTTCTGGCGAGCCAGATTGAAAATGAGGGATCAAAAGCCCAAAATTCGAAAGTCGTGCTCGCCATGAGTGTCCTCCTTTCAAACTGGTCGCTTAAGGAGAAAGGCAAACCAAAGAAAAATGATGGACCAAAGAGAATCGGCCGGAAGGAGGCAAACCGTAAAAGTAGACAGACGGCAATCGGTCATGAGAAAGCAAGCCAAAGTACTCGCACTCAACATACAAAACCATATTTGCAAATATGCTGATGGAAGTAAAAGCGACATTTACGGAAAACAGATTAACGCGGCAAAATCAACGAGGCTGCGGTCAATACCTTGAAGTCCAGCCCAAGAGCGTCCACGTACCCCTTCTTCCGGTACACGAAGTACATTGCCACATTTAGAGCGTAGTCTACGTACTTTTCGAACCTGCAACATTCGCTCCGAGATTCAATCTTCCGGACAAGTCTGAAGAGGACGGTCGCAATCCAGATTGTGAATGCCAGGCTTCTAATTCAAGGTTAGAGGTCAGGGTTCGAGAGCGGGGTTAAGGCTTTCTGATCAAACGAGTGCTAGGCCCAAAGAGCTTCGATATTCGAGGCCAGAGCTCAGAGTCGGTCTGTGGATAGTCCAAACACAAGCGTCCAAATCCCGATCTCTGGTTCTTGGATTATATCTGCGGTCTGCCTCCGAAACATAGGCTTTGAAACCGTGACGAGAAGCAACTGTTTCAGGTCTCGACTCCCCCCCACCCCTCCAGATGATCATTGCAACTGACAGCATTCCGTGACAGCGGCTACTGTAAATCTGGTAATAGCTGCTGAAGCACGAAAGACAAGTCCTCTCTCTCCATTCCATTCAAAGCTACTCTAACTAGTCAGTTGCATGTCGCATCTGGGTCGACCATGGCCGAGCGTCCAGCAAAACGGCTCACCCAAAATCATCGTCAAAGACAAACGGCAGCATGCCCGTCCGGTGGGGATCCACGTCTTTCCAGATTTGACTTCGGAAGCTCAGGTAGCCGTTGGGCTTGCCCTCAGTGAATGGGGAGTTGGCGAACAGAGCCGTCGCGATCTGAAGGGGTGTAGATCGGAGTTGGTTAGCGAAGAGCGAGCGGTGTGCAGAAGAGAGTGTGAGAAGTCCATCATGTCACAAGCAAAAGAATTCAATGATCAAGCGAGAAACTTGAGCCTTTGTAAGCTTCTGCCAAACATGATCGAGATAGGGAGTCAGCACGGGGCTGCTGGTGGAACTAGACGGGTCAGCAAAGCGCGAGCGGTTGGCACAATGGGAGCTCTGGAAGATGGCTTCTGACTATCGTAAACTACTGCCTTTTCTACGTTTAGATCGACCTCTGGAAGACACCAGATGCAGCTCCAGCCGTCCGGATGTTCCGTGTGTTTGCCGGCACAATATGATCATGATATCCCTTGATGACATGTCATGTCCGTTTAAAAGCAGGCCATTCATCAACTGAGCGAGTTAGATCCGAACGGTTGGAGACCCAGCTCGACCCGCATCTCTTACACAATGTCGAGCTCGGTGTCAACAGTACCATCCTTTCGATGATATTATGAATTCCCCTCTGACACGTCATCTCACCCCTGCGAGCCAACCCCCAAACTCACCGGTTGCAAAGCCAGCCCGACCCGCATCTTGTTGATCATGTCGCGCTCGGTGTCAAAGTCCAGGTTGACTTGCACGGTGCATGTGCGGAACATCATGTCGCGCCCGTGAGACCCCACGCGCGGCATGTATTCCTTCATCAGCTTGTAGCGGCCCTTTGGCATGATCGGAATGTCCTCGATGCTCCACTTGGGGTCGAAACCGAGCCCCAGAAAGCCGGCACCCATCTCCTCACAGACTGTCTTCACCTGAAAGGGCAATCAAAGCAAATATGTAAACTGAAAGAGCCTGTCACAGCGGCACTGCAAACTCACTATTTGAAAGTACTGTCATTGTCGCACACTACGGTGGCACACTACGTGGCACCAGTCTCTTGTGGACCTGATCTATGATAGGGCGCACTCCTTTGTTGCTCGTTACAGAGCATTTCATTGCATACGTGCTTGTTCTCAGCTTCTATGGTCAGGTACCAATCAGTGAGGTGAATGTCCTCTGCCTTCTTTTCCTTATTTTTATCAGTGAGGGGTTGCCGGCATCCAAATACCAGACCATGCTGAACACAGGAAGTCGTTCTGAAGTGGACTCTTGAACACAGCCTTCACTATTGCGAATCTGCTGTTCTGGCAGCCTTTCTGTCAGACCTAGGGAGTTCCTGATCCTGTCTCGAATGACTGCAAACTTTTATATCGTCCTTTCCATAAGGAGACTCAGCATCTCCTAGCCCTTGGACACAACGACAGGTATTTCAGTTCACAAACCCCCTTGACCAATCCTCCACGATTAAACCACCACCCAAGGTATAAATACTCCTGGTAACCAGGAATGCTCATAATCAAGTTCGCAACTTGAATTCGCGACGGGCGCACACTGGACGCACACATAAAGAAGGTACCCTTGCCTACATTAAAACAGGCCGTTCCTTCACGAATTAAGCGGCGGTTTCGACCTGGCCTTGCTGATACCACTAAGATAGAGCTCTAGAAAGCAAGACCGCCTAAAACGGTGAAGTAATGCTTTAGTTTCTTTGATGTATAAGGTCAAAAATGCACAAGCTGGAAGCGGGCGCCTTCGGGCCGAAATTTGAATTTCGGTGGCCGCTGGAGCGAATGCCAGCCGGTTTGCCCCGAGTTATACCCGGGGTGGTGGTTTAATCATAGGTGGCAACTGCAGATAGCAGGATTTCTCCCACCAGATGGCAATGTCAAATGAGGGACAGTGGCAACAAAGGCTGCTCAGCAGCCTCACTTGATACAGGTGGCTGTTGACCTCTCCACATGTCTGGTGCAGAGTGCTCAAGGGGGCCCCGCTCAGCTCAAACTGACCCCCTGGCTCTAGCGTGATGCTTTGGCCGCTCTGCAGGACGAAGCAAATTACTAATCAGCTACTTGTAATAAAGGAAGTAGTGAAGGAGGCAGGTCATCTAGCTCGAGCCTAGCACCCCTGCTTGAGCATGAAGCGTGTCTCAAGGTTCAAAGCACTTGCTAGTATTCCTCGGGGGGAAAAGGCTCGTCCACTTGATCACATCTGTCAGCTGCTAACTCCAAAGTCTTTGATTGTCACTACAGTATATTTGAATATGCATCAGCTCGCAGCGTTTGTATGGATGGACAAGCAACAATTGTCTTCATTAGCATCATTATGTACCTTATACCACTTTCCGAAAAGCCAATGATGAGTAGTGTAAAACCAATCGCCGAACGCCCTCAGAAAGCACGATTGCTTTCATCCATGAACTGCAAATTCCAGATCATATGGAAGGGGACTGCTTCTTGTTTTACCTGCTTAAGTGCAATCAACTTGTTGTTCTCAAACACCCGCTCCCATCCAAACCGGTCAGCCAGCGCCTCAAGCAGCTGATGGATCTCCTCGTAGTTTAGCCGCCGCTTGTCCTCAAACTTGAACCCAAACTTTTCGTGTTCAGTCCCTATGCTGCAGAGCAGGTGCTGTACAGTCAGACCCTGACAAATCTTAACTTGATATGATTAGAGTGAGTTTTCTGACCTTACTTTTCATGACCTCTGTGTTACACATCTGCTCTGAAATGCAGGGAGGGATAAGAGTAAAAAGTTCAAGCATTTTGTGCAGGTTATAAACGGACTCAGAAAACATCAACTAAATATGCAATTGTTTCATGCAGGTTACAAAAAGAAACGGAAACCGTCAGCTTGATTCGAATCTGTGCTGTAGAGAATCCATCCTCTCTTTCTTTCAACAGACTTTCTTTCAAAACAAGCAGAGATAAAACTCAGAGGCCAGCTTTTCAGCTTGTGGTAATCAAGTTGTCACACAAATTGCTGGAACTTGAAGGTGGATCGTATCAGATGTCAAGTTCGAAGCGGGAAGGTGACAGCGCTTGGACGCTGTTGATCGTGAGCAATCTGCAGCCCTTTGCTCTCTTAGCTCCGCCCAGGACATCAGAATGTGCTTCCAACAAGCCAGGCAAGAATACAAACCGTAGTGTCATGCTTAGAAAATTCTCAAAGAGGCCAATAGTGTTGATGTTTGGGCCTCATCCACCAATGCCGAAAGGCTGGCGGCCTTTTGAATCTCGGACCAATCACATATCCAGAAATCGCCATGACATGCACCGTTGATGCATCTTCAAAACATAAGCACAGAATGGCAGATTAGGGTTAGCGAACAGATGTACCACCATCGAAAAGCTGAAGCCACATTTGAGATAGATTCAAGTCGGTCCTTAAGACCAGGATAACAATCTATCAATCTTGTCAATCTTGTGGATTGAATCTGACAATAAACTGCAGCGGTTCTTACCGCCAATTCTCCTTCGGTTTGCATCCTTTCTTCATGTACTCAACAAGGTCAGCCTTTGTCAGCATCTTCGTATCCGTGACAACCTCCTCAGTCGGCGGTCCTGCGGCAACAATCGTCCCTTTCCCTCTTCTGTGCATCGTCGATTCTGACTTCAAGTCAGACCCTCCGCTCAACCTCGATACCGATCCCTCTAGCCGATGCCTCCCGTGAACTGCATGCTCTAAGCTTTTCTTTCTACAACCAACCGGTGCAGAAGCAAGACAATTTTGTCGTATCCGAGGCAAGATCTGTGGGCCGGCGCGTGCATTTGAAGCATGCCTGTGGACTCGTCCTGGGCCCACATTCACAAGCCTAGAAGAAACGGATGCTTCCTGCCTGGATCCCTGCCGCTGACCAAGAGGCGCGTGGTGAGGAAGAGCGTGCCCGCAGGCTGCCCTCATGGTCGCCCCGTCCGCCATCGAGCAAATGCCGATCCGTCCTTACCCCTAAGTCTGGCCAACGACGCCCTCCGTGCGCAAGACGAGCTGCATGAAGATCTGCATGGAAGCGATGAATGTGGCAGGTTGCACTTCGCTCAGAGATTGTCAACAGGACCAACTTGAAGCCGCCACAAAATGTTCAGAGCAGCGCAAAAGAGCCAATCCAGATTGCGCGGACTCGCCAGGGATGAGTGACGGGGCAGCGCTGCTGCAGTCCAGCAGGACCAGGAAAGCGCTTTGAACACCAAAATACGGAGGAACCGTACATGATGATAGCGCTAGAAATGCTGTGTTAAGATTCAGGATCATTCCATGTTGTTTTCGTAACCCGATTTGGATTGGATTGCTAACGTAGGTAAGACCTAACCCGCTACATGGTTACAGCGGATATTAAAAGTTTAAAGGACCTCCCTTCTAGTACTACCTTCGATACCTACTCTACAAATCTCAGAAGCGCCAGAAACTTGGCTGCGGGAGAAGTTGCGGTTAAGAACAGAACTTGAAGATAAGACAGAGCGAATTCTGCGTTCAACGTTGTCGTCATTCTGACGCAATTACAGTGGCCTGAAGAGCTCAATGATTGAAAGGTCCGACTCTGCACAATGAATACCGGTACCTGGTCGGCTGGTACATACCACGGTAGTACTACCGTAGTAACTTCAGCAGGCTTGTAACTAGAGGAGCCAAACTTTTGACTTTCCAGGGCATAGCTTATGCCCCGCAATTGCGCCAATTGCAGTGGAAGCGACAAGTGGTGGAAGTTGGAACATGGCGGTGCAGCAGAACAGCGCTGGCGCCAAACGTGGCCTTCTTGGCGTGCATGGCGTGCTATCGAACGGTAGTGATCCCCTATGGACGCAGCAGAGAGAATCCCTCCCAGCTTCGAAAAGGAAGGCAACAATTGCCACTGCCATTTTTCCCACACAGACGTTCTTGTTTGGAGGAACAGAGCAGCGTGATCTTCGCGAAGCTGGGAATTTCAGGGGGAAGGTCAGTCGGACAGGTAGGGACAAAAGGTATCATTCGACTTGTCAAGAAAGATGGCTGATCAGAAAGCGAGCGGCTCCAAGGGGGAAAATGGAGAGGAAGCCAGGTTGACGAAGCAAGATCTTGTTGACTTCTTCAAAAAGGCGTGCACTCCAAGGGACCAGTGGCGGTGAGTCTGATGCTTCAATCCGGCTGTGTGAGAGGATATAGAGACCACCTTGGTAATTCATCAGAATTTCAATTGTTGATCCAGTCCTATCTTTGATGTTGTGATGCAATGTGGTGGTATGTGAAGTGCAACTAGGATTTTGCTCTCATGCTCTGGGAACTTACTTTTTTGCATGTGTGATAAGCCGATGTACACATTGGCGCCTGTTTCATGAGAATTCCTGGTAGAGGATGCAGGTTGCATCTGCTTGTAGATGCTATTCCTTTGCATGCATGACGTATCACATGCCGCCATGGTTGAATAAGACTTCTGTAAGTGTGTTAGTGTCCATAAGAGAATGGATTCACAGCGCCTTTCTTTTGTATGTGGTTCTAGCTCAAGTGTTCTTTGCACTTTGCTAGCTCATTCAGCCAAGAATAAGCTCTGAAGCATTGGGTTTGCCATTCACCATGTTGTTTCTAAGGTGGTCGTTACAAATGGGTGGGTATATGAAAGCTACTGTTAAGTCACAATGTATTCAACAAAGAATGGACCACAAACTATGTGGCTACAACTCAGCTTCTTCATCAAAACCAATGAGCCACAATTGGAATCTCTTAACAAGAGTTGTTATGGCTTTCATAAGTAGACCGGGCTGTCGGGTCAACCACAGGCTCAGTCAAAGCGACCAGGAGGTCCACTTTCCGCGAAAAAACCTACAGCAGAGGCACTCTTTGCTCAATGCCAGATTGAATTGGGAGATATATTGCAATATTTGAATGAAAGAGCCTTGCATCTGTAACACTGCGTCTGTCCACCTTGCCACTGAACCTGAGGATGAGAAGAAGAAAACTTCCGGGCTGTGACAAGAGGCATCTGTCAGAGCTAATGTCAAGGAGCAGGAATTTTCAAACTTATCGGATGTTTTGAAATGTCTACAGGATTGGGACCGAGCATGAGAAGATTGGTTTCCGGGTCAGCGACAAGAAGCGTCTGACCTACGAGGAGATCCGCACCATTCTGGGAAAGCTAGCGGATAAGTTTGGGTGGGAGCGGTCGTTTGAACATGGCAACCTGCTCGCGCTCAAGCAGGTGACCTTCAAAACATCTTGGAATGCATTTGACAGGAATTACCTAAGTAAGCTTGCTCAGATTGATTGAAAAGATTGGCATATTGTTCTGTTGGGGTATGTCATCGGAAGATTCTACTGCCTACAATCAGGATTGAACGAGTCTTCTGCTAAGCTGGTTCAACTCACTTACGCTCGAATCTCCCCTGGAAAAAAGCTTAAATTCAATCATAAGAGATCTCTTTCGCATAGCATACTTTCACAATTGGCGACGCAACCGTTCATGTGAACGGCTTTCGGAATCCCTAGCTTTCTCCGTGGAAATTTCGTCTTCTAATCGTCCTTCAGATCAGACTTTTCCAGACACGATTCTGGAGATGTTTTCAACAGATCTGTAAATCTGCGTTGAGTCTGTCATATCACCCCCTGATCCTCCGAGCCGCAGAAAGCAATCGCTACTTTTGGCAGCGGCAGGCCTCTTAAGACTGTACTGGTCAACATTTAGTAAAGTCGACATTCTGGCACATGATATTTTTTGAAGCATGTTAGCGTCGCAACCAAGGATTGCTTTGGAATCCATGCACGCATCAAGCTGGAATGCTGGCGGTAAGAGCTGCTGGCACACAAGCTGCATCAACACAGTACTATTTTCTCATCGGGCCACAAGTTTGTCATCAAGAATGCAGATACTACGGACCGTTGCTGCAGAGAATCGATCTCATTCCTCATCTTGAGCTTGATCCGAATCCTTGTCCTCATTTGGTTTTTGACTGTAAACTGCACCATATGCTGACAGAATTTCATTTCCAGAACGGTGCCAGCATCACGTTGGAACCTGGGGGCCAGCTCGAGTTGAGTGGTGCGCCGTTCAAGACGTTGCATGAGACGCTTGAGGAGGTTAACAACCACATCAGTCAGGTCGGTTCAACTAACCTCTTCTTCATACTCCAATCATGTTCCTCTTTTTCACAGTGCTCAAATGAGGTACTGGGTACGGAGTCTGCTCACATCGCGTCCTTATGATCTCAGCAAGCTCGGCCCAATTGTATGAAGCGAAGAGGAGTGCGCTGAAGTAAGCAAGATGCACACGTATGGTTTGCATGAGAAGTCGGGACTGTCAGGGCTTCGGGGGCCAATCGCGAGCATTGATCACTTTCCAGCAGGCTCCACAAGATGCAGAAAGAATGTCGAATGTTTTCATTGAAGATCAGTCAACAATCTGGAACGAAGGTGACAGGCGGACACTCCCATCTGGACGTGTTGTCAGCAGTGTCGTTCCAGGTTGGGAGCGTTCCAGTATGTGGGTGTAATATGCATTGCTTGATTTTCAGATGCCCCCTCGGCAAACGTGGGATTTCAGCAGCTCGTTCGACGCCGCCCTTCTGGGGTGCTCATGAGAACAGTATAGAATGTGATACAGCGGGGGAGCACTCCGCCAGTGGTTCGAAACCTTGCGTCAATGGCTAGGAGTCAATGTACTCGATTACAGAACTTTTCAGGTCGAAGCGATTCGTGAAGAGCCGGGCAACCTGCCTCACCAAACCTGTATTAGTTGAAGTTGAAGCCGGCTTATCTACTCCACCGTGATCGTGATTATGTTGCAGGATAAACGTTTAGGTTTTCGGGTGGAAGAGCTTAGGGGATTAGCTAGAAACCTCGGGTTAGTCTAAAAATATTCGGGTCCGCTCAAGTCAATCTGGAGATGTTTTTACTCTGTTTCTTTCAGCCCATCTGAAGTGGCGTCATATTCGGCTTCATATCCAGCTTCATATCCAGGTAAAGGCAGTCTGCAAGAAGCTCGCCGCAGGTTTTTTGACCCTTGGCTTTGGCCCAAAATGAGTTTCGGTCTTCAAACTCGGTTTCAACTCGGGTCATTCAGATCAACATCATATCCGGGTTCATTTCCAGGTTAAGGCAGTCTGCAAGGAGCTCGGCGCAGGTTTCTTGACCCTAGGCTTCGATCCGAAGTGGACGTCATCTCCGACTATTCCCAAGGAGCGGCACATCCTGGCCAGTGACCTCATCTCACAGAAGGGGGAGCACGGACATGACGTCATGTATCGCACGTGCACGGTCCAGGTACGAACCAGGGCTCGTTGTCAACTTTGGTCTGACAGCAAAAAGGTGGTGTGTTGTGCGCGGCATCTGAATGTCTCGGCACCCGTCAGAAGACAGCTGGGTCCTGGATAAACGGCTGCGTTGCGGATAGAAACACCTATGAGATCCCGCAACTTCAGAATGATTTTATCGTCGTTTTTGTGCAGGTGAACCTCGATTATGAGTCGGAGCAGGACATGGTGAACAAGATGCGCGTCGGTCTGGCGCTGCAACCGGTGAGTTTCTTTGAACGCGAACGTAACTTGTTATTCTCTTGGTACACCATTCCTGTTGGACCTACTTAGCGATGGAGGCTGCGGTTGATCAAAGTCTCGCTGACAGCGTAGTCGGCAAGGTGGAGAATGCAGATTGACTGTCGCGGCGGCGGGTGGTAGTTTTTCCGAGCCACCAGGCTTGCGGCCAAAACAAAGAAGCGTGGTTCGGGTAGCGGGGTTTTTGAATTCTCGAGTTTTCTGCCCCCAGATTGCCACAGCGCTTTTCGCCAACTCGCCGTTTTACGAAGGGAAGCCCAGCGGGTTCGTGAGCTACCGCAGCATCACGTGGACCGACACCGACCCGGACCGCACCGGAATGCTGCCGTTCGTGTTCGACGACGACTTTGGGTGCGTTTTGAGAACGTTTGCCTTTACAATACTTCGCTTCGGTTTCATTCGAAAATTTTCCAGTGGTGATAGCGGCATGTTTTTCCATTGCGAACGGGGGGCTATCCCTGGGATTCGCAAAGCTAGGCCGTCTACGATTGATTGGCTTGAATCCATGCATTGGTTGGAAAAGATGAGCGCCGCGACGGACTAAGTTGCGGACACGCTGTGTAGCTTCGCTTTTTACTAACGAAGGAAACCGCCCCCTGCCCACATACACCATGCGATCGCCCAAATTGCCATTGGGCCAGACTGACTGTCTTAGAATTACGATGGTAGAATAAGAAACGGTATCAGCTCGGACGAACTCCGCAATAACAATCAACGTTACGACAATTGTGGCCATGTTTGTAAGTTGATGCCCTAATGCGGCAACCTTGTTCGTTACAGGTTTGAGAAATTTGTAGACTGGGCGCTCGACGTGCCCATGTACTACGTCCAGAATGGGAAGGAGTACGTCAAGGCCCTGGGACTGGATTTCAAGGTAAGTTTCAATGTGTCAAGGCTCAGAAACTGACGCTTTGTGCTGCATCTTTTCATGGAGGGTTCTGTGCATTCGTAGAGTTTGAGGGTTTTTTGCATTCGGTGCTCACCCAACAGGCAGCGGGCTGTGGGATCTAGCTCGAGGGTTCGATGGCACTGCGCTGAGACGCGCAGTATCCTTGCTAACGATCTCAATTACTTGGTAAACAGTGGAAGATCCACACTCCTGTCCGCTCAACGGAACAGAAGGAGGAGTCGTAAGTACAGTTCGTTCAGCCGATGTCAAGTGCAAAACTTTTAGCCGGTGTCAATTGCAAAACGACGGTAGCAGCTCAGATATTGTACCCATTTGCTTTCTCCTCCAACCCTCAACCACGGTGCATTGTTTCCAGGACTTCATGGCTGGCAAGCTCGAGCCCCTCCCTGGAAAGTACCCAACTATGGCGGACTGGTTGAACCAGCTCAACAGCATACTGTCGGAGGTGAGGCTAGTCACTCAGATGATAGCATCTTCGATGACGATCGTTGTCTTGTGTACTTTGTCAGAGCGAATGGATCCATCAGAAGGCAATCGACAAAGACAGGACACGATATTGCAACGCACGTCATTAGAATACATCTGGCAGTCTGTGCAGATTTTATAGGATCGTTAAGATCACGACAGGCGCGTCCTGAACCGCTCCTCTTCCATTTTGTACATCTTTACGTAGGGAAGTGTTTCTGGTGAGCTGCGACAGATTGGAGCTCTAAGGAACTGGGTTCGCCAGAATCAGGGTTTGAAGTAAGAGACACTTTCATGGCGTCTTCATGAGCGAGATTCCTGACCCCGTTCTAGCTTTGAAAATTCGGCTCATCCCTTTTGTTTGTCAACGCAGGTGCGGCTAAAGAACATCGTCGAGATGCGGGGCTCGGACAACGGCCCGCCCGAGCACATCACTGCGCAGTCCGCTCTCTGGGTGAGCACATCGAAAGACCCGTGCTTTCTCCGTCCTTCATTCATCCAAGCGATTATTCGCCTGCAGCCGTAGTCCTGCAAACTTGATACGCCATTTCCGGCTACAGGCATTCGTCTTGGTGCAGTAGTTCCTTCCCCCAACACAATCGGGAGTCGGTTGATGACGATTGCTGTTCATAGCCGACTTCTTCAGAGTCTTCTAAACTGGTGTTTGATCTTCACACGTTTGGACTTTGTCGTCGTGATCAATACCCCTCCCCTCGACTTGATTGTCTTTGTCGGCGGGCACGTGAAAACGCCATTCGTTCTGAAGTTTCTTCTCCTGTCAGCCACTGTTGTCGTATCTGGCATGTTGCGCTTCGAACTATTTCTTGACTTCTCCTCGGCACTAGGTCATTTTCACGACAGCAAGTCGCTCTAGTCTGTTACCGAGCTCGATGAGGAGAACGCACCGCAAAACAATAGCAATTCAGGGCCTTCGCAAGCTTTGCCACTCCTCCCGGGCATCTGGTTGTTTAAGCCTCCCGTTATATTTTTGGCATCAGAGTGGAATTCCCTATGCCGACAAGTCTCTCCAGTCCGCGGTACAGCTTGTTCCCGACTGCACCGCAAAGGACTGCCCCTTTTGGTAGCTGGTGAATGTGACAGCCACCATCCCAAATGTTTCCTTCTTCCGAAACAGCTTGATCTCCTCTACGATGCCACGTTTGGCATCGCTCCAGGCCGCGCTCCAGCTCATAGCTACGTAAACCGCAGAGGAGCGCCCTTTTGTTGGGTGCATAAAGGCGTTCAAAATCACACCTCAGCTGCTTATGCCAAACAGAAAATGGATGCCATCAATTCACGCCTTCTCCTTCTTGGCACCAGGTCGGTTTCTCCTGCGAAGTCAAGTGCCTCCAGGCCGCGCTCCAGCTCATCGCAATTTGGACCGCAGAGGAACGCTTTATCAGCCGCTAAGTCGCTCCCTCTTGAAACGTTGTCCTCTTCGGCATCAGGTTGGTCGCGTCTACGACGACAAGTCCATCAAGGCCACGCTCCAGCTTATTGCAGCTTGGACCGGAGAGGAACGCTTTATCAGCCGCTAAGTTGTTCCCTCCTGAAACTCTTTCCTCTTCGGCACCAGGTTGGTCTCCTCTACGACGACAAGTCCATCAAGGCCACGCTCCAGCTTACTGCAGCGTGGACCGCAGAGGAGCGCCCTTTTCTTAGCTGCTAAGTTGCTCCTTCCTAAACCTTTTCCTCTGCGGCACCAGGTTGGTCTCCTCTATGATGACAAGTCGCTCCAGGCCGCGCTCCAGCTCATCAAGGATTGGACCGCAGAGGAGCGCGATGCGCTGCGCAACAACGTGCCAAGGACCGGGTTGAAGACGGTGTTTCGAGGCACGACCGTTCAAGACGTTGCGCAAAAGGTCGTGCAGCTCGCCAAAGTAAGACAGTCTCTCCTCGTCGTGGGTTTGTCTTTGGTGATTTCTATTTGTTTGGTTTCGTCTTGGAGGTTTCTGTCTGTCTTAAAGGGCAGCAGAATGGAACGACTTTTTTACGCCCCTTGAAGAAACGACCGGACAGTCCAAAGGTTGCCCAAAAAGTCGTGCACTTCGCCAAAGTAAGCCGAATCCGCCCTTGTCTCGTTTCGTCCTTGCAAAATCTTGTCCCGGCTAAGTTTTGAGGTTTTCAAATCAAGTCGTGCAGCTCGCTAAAGTAAGCCGATCCGCCCTTCTTACATTCCGCCCATGCACATTCAGTTCTCGATTTCATTCTCAGAGCTTCAGTTTGACTTGAAGTGCAGCGGATCGGAACGTTATTCAACGCCGATTCGAGACACGACCGGTCAAAAGGATTGCGCATAATATCGCAGGTTGCCTTAAAAAAATCGAATTTCTTGTCTCATTTCTGTCACTTGCAAATTCAGTTTCTCGTTCCGTCTCGAAGGTTTCAGCTTGTTTTGGAGTGCAGCGGAATGGACGCCGTCTGACGCCGTTCCGAGGAGCGATTGCCCAGCCAGTTGCGCAGGAACCAGTCGCTTGCTATTGTGAAGCCAGTCTTTTCTGTGTTTTTCTCATTTTTGTACTTGTTCTTCCGGTGGTAGTCAAGTGGTGCAGATTTAAGCTTCCGTCACTTCCTTGGAAGTATACCGTAACAGAAGGCCGTTTTGGAAAACGACAGTCTTAACAACACAAGTAACTGACTATAGCCTCGCTCCTCGCAGGAGGGCCTTGAGAGGCGGGGTCTGAAGGAAGAGAAGTACGTTGAGATGCTGGAAGACATTGCGCGCACAGGTAAGGTGACGCTTCGTTGGTATCTATCACTTCTGAACATCCGTGTACAGCTTTCTCCTTTGGTCGGCGTTCTCCTTCTTCTGCAAAAGCGAACAGCCTGGGTACACGTGTCATCGGCGGGTCGCCTGCATCATATCCCTTTTTCTGCTCAAAGTAACCCATGTTTCTGGAGTCACGGCAGAGTTTGAAGTTCGAACGGCGTCGTAAACATGGGAGTCAATACAACCGCAGTCCTGCTGTCCTGCCTAATGGCGGCCCGAGTTGTTGTCGGCCTCGGAATATTGCACAGAAGACTTTGTTCCCCTTGTTTCGCTCGCTGTACCGATAGTCGCCTGGCTGCACGGCGTCAGCTCAAAAGTCTTCTGTTTACTGCGCTTGCTTTGCTCCACCTGAGAGTTCAATCTCCTGAGCATCGCTTTATGTGGCCACCTTTGCCGTATGCAGGCATGTGCCCTGCCGACAAGCTCCTCGACAAGTACCACAACGAGTGGGGCCAGAATGTAGACAAGGTGTACAGTGAGCACTGCTACTAACCGGATCGTCCCGACCAATGCACGCGCTTTCGCCATTTGTTGTTAATACATCCTAGAGTTGATGTTTAGATTCTGTAGCAATAAGCTGTTGATAGCAAGATGGACCGGAAGGGCCCGACATCCAGCTGGCCGCTCTGGTCAACGTCAAATTCGCTAATCCGAAGAGACTAATCACGTCATTTGTTCGGTTGCTGATTTTGGAAGAGGTGTACGACTGTTCGAGCAACTCTCGACTCAAAAGTAGGAATCTGATATGCGCTGCCTTTGCAGAAACTATGCGTTGCTAATCATAGGGCTTAGAAACTTGAAAGTGCTGCGGCTCTGCATCTTGCCATAGCTGGGCTCCGGCTCCCACTTTTGACCGCCGTGGCGATGGTTGCAAACATAGAGTTGCATGTGATCCTTCTCGTCTCAATCAGGGGCTTGCATGCGTTTCATGCCGGGAAGACTGTGGCTCGTGAGATGAGTTGTTAAGTTACTACTTTAAGTCAATCATTATCAATGAGTCACTGAAATGGAATTGGAATGGAATAGTATTGGCATGCGATGAGTCCGATCCTGACATACGTTTCTGTCAGTGTCATCCAATGATTTTGGCAGGCCGGAAGAGTTCCACAGTTCGACATTGCAGCTAGTGTTTCTCTGCATGGCCTGCATGCAGTGGTTGGCGGGTGCTATATACAATGATCGATCTAGCCGGGATCATACAGATGTGGCTGGCACACATCAGTGGCCGCCGTATCTTCTATGCGACCCGGCGGCGCCAGCTGGATTGAGACTTAGGGTAAGGTCATTTTGTAGTGACCCCCCTAAATGTTCAGTCCAGAGCCCCTCGAGACCCGAACGGCCAAGCCCCCCCCCCCTTTCGCTGCCCTTACTATTCCAAACCCCCAACCCCCCACCCTCTGAACTGAACATAGGGGGTCAGCTTCAACATGACCTTACCCTTGGTGATATGTCAGATGTGGTCAGAGAGACGTACGGTACCCTAGGTTATGTTGCCACGTGGCGCACCATGAGTCCAGTATCAATTCCTGCATCATACCATTCGACATGCAATTGTCGCGGTGTATAATGGATTTTGCCGCCCGCGCTTTAATAATTGCTATCAACAACCTGGGCCCCGTATAGTCGATCCTACATATCTATGACAGGCCGGCGCCGGCAGCCCCACATGCAGGAGCTAGCTCTGACTTTTATCTACCAGCATTACATGGCTGAAACGGTATCAGTACCGTACTGGTTGGATGTACCATTAGACTTTGTCGCTCTTCCGGGCCGGGAATGGGATTTCCTCTGGCTACGGTAGATGTGCCGGTGTAAATGGTACGCATGCTCCAAATATGCCAATTTGCCATCCGCAACTTCTGGCAATTGTGCTGACAACCCCTTCTTGGAATTGGGGGCTGGGGCCGCCGGCAAGGCCGCGCCATGTACGTATGTTCACAATTTTGCACGCATGCCTAAATACTGCTGTAGCAAGATATCTCAATCGGCCCGGAAAGCATCATTCCGATGCGGCCGACCATGTCACAGCCTCTTTCACTTCTCAAGAAGAATTCAAGAACAAATACGTCCGACTGTCTGCCAGTCCATTGGTCCCATCTGGATTCAAAGGATGGTACAAATCTCGAGCAACTGGTCTATCTATCTTGGTACAATACATGCATAGCACCCGGTTCTCGAACGACCGCAGATGTCCTCAATATACACCCTACTATGATTCAAAGAGTATAACGGCGCAACCCGAGGGCGGCAGCTTCACTTACTCTGTACTTGCGGCACAACCCACATGCCGTTCCTTGGTTTCAGCACAATCCCTACTTGAAGATCTAACTTTCCGTCGGGCCGCAAGATTTTCTCGTTAATTACCGTAAAGGTGAGTCTCTTGTAAAGCCGAATGAGCGCGAGCTTTGCTTCCTCCATCGCGAAGCGGTGCCCAATGCACATTCGTGGACCGAGCCTATAAGCGATGAACGAAAGCGTTTAAACTCTGATGGAGCTTTGGAGCGAGGGGGTCATGCAAAAGGGCTAGGCGAGAAGAAAGCAGGATGGCTGCCAGCTTTGCTTCTTCCATAGCGGTCGCTGAAGCGCAACTCGGAGCAAAGCTGAAAGGGGAAAACGATTCTCAGATAGACGCCCCGGAAAAAGGGCATGACATTTGGAGTGGGAAGGAGATTGTGCTTGTAAAGCGTTGCGCGTTCATTGCGATAATAAGCACACTTTGGGGTTGAATGAAGGAGAAGAGTACTGAGAAAAGAAACTTACGCTATGCGAACAGCGGATGAGTTACTAGGTCAAGAAGGATAACCACTTGCACGGGTGCATGCAAGACCTCCGCAAAATTCGCCATCTTGGATCACAGCCCTTTCCAAACAAGGGAAAGCCCTTCCTTTAATCTTTTGCGACCAAGAAAGATCCTCAGTAGTTAGAATAGGAACTGACACGCAGCAAGAGTACCCAAGATCAGCTAGCCAGAATGGCACTAACCAGGAGAATAACAGAGCGAGGAAGCGCTCAAGGGTTCTCACAAAGGATCCCTTTTCCAGTCTTGACGGCCAAGAGCATATGACGCAGCGCTCACCCGAACGGGATGAAGGCGTACGGGTGCCTTCCTGCGACTTCCGCCGGATCGAAGCGCTCCGGGCGGAACGCGTCTGGGTCGGGACAAACTTCCGGGTTGTGGTGCATGGCGTAGACCGGAATCAAGACCTGCGAAACGGAACCAGCAATTTAACCGGACCAGAATTCTGAGCCAGGCACGACTGCGGACCCGATTCAATGCTCCAAAGAGTTGGATCTCCTGTCATAGTCGTCGACGCTTTGTAACAGATCGATTCCGGCACGTGAGGACTACAAGCCGCTGTCCGGAACCCGTGGACAGAACCGGAAATTGACTCGGCTCTTGTCCCGAGACAAGATCGTTGGCCGGTAATACATGATAAGCAATTGCATCGGGCAACGCAGGGTCAGTACGTCTCTCGAAAAGTGCGACCACCGACAAACAGAAGTCCCCAGCTGCATAGTTTTTGTATGTACTTTTCTGCCCACACTCAGTTCTCAACCAGTACGTACAAGTGTACATTCTGTTCTGGAAGGCTACGAGGTGCGCGGGAATGGATTCCGTGTTCCTTTCATGTCGCACTTTTCAGCAACGCTCGGGACGAGTGGACCGATGAGGAGAAGAAAGGGAGGAAAGCACAAAGAAACAGTAAGGGAGGTCCAAGGGTGACCGTACATTGACGCCCTTGGGTAGGTGGATGCCCGCCACGTGGCAATCCTGGGAGGCCTGCCGCGAAATGACGGCTCCCGTGGGGAAGAGCCGTAACGTCTCCTGGACAACCTGTATGGATAAAGTTGGAGTAGGTCAACTCACAACTCTGAGGAACTCTGGTAACGTAAGTGTGACTCAAAAGCCGCGTGACTTAAGAAAGGCACCCGGGGGACGGGTGGGGTTAGTCTGGTGGTTAGGGTGGCTTGGGGTGCCGCGCGCGTGATTGTTCAGGTTAGGGTTTTTAGTTTGTTTGGTCGGGGTACATGAATCTTAAGTCATACGCCGCTTCAGTCACACTTGATTTGCCAGTATCTCTGACGTTAAAAGTGGGCTTCCCCCGACGCGGCTCTCAAGCGACACGCGCAGGCTTTGTGGTGTATACGTGACTGAGAATCGCTACGAATATGACCACGTCCTTTGGGAAAGCGTCAAGGCTGAAGACGGCTCCGAAAAAGAGCTCTCGCAGAAGCTTGCCTGAACGAGGCATTCAAAGAAAGTTGGGAAAGACCAATCATTTACCTGCTCGACGTACGGAAACTGGGCGAGTTCGTCGTACGTCGGGCGGAACTCGCTATCCGCCACTCCTTCCTTCTCGAGCTTCTCGTAAAACTCGCGGATCTCGCGGCACATCTTTTGCTCGGCGGCCGGGTTGTTGGTCAAACAGAACACTGCCAGGAATAACAAGGGCGGAACTGTTTGCTTGGATAGAGAATCGAGGCCGCGATCCAGACACGTGGCAGTTCGTGTTTGGCATTTGGACTTGGGGTTGGTCATTCCTTTTCTCTCGTGAATTCACGTGAAACCCCGGACAACGCGGGACAGCTTGTCACCAACTTATAGCCAAAGAGTAGACTGCGCAGATTCATAAGGCCAGCGCCGTCCCTTTAGGGATTTAGAGAGGGACAGAGACCAGACACCTGGCAACAGCTGATTGGTCGCCAGACTTTCGCATCTTTGTTGCGATTCGCAAAGGTTTTTCTCGGGGGCTGGGCTCTTCGCCAATGACTACAATGCACAAAAGGAACGGTGTTGTTTCGGGGGTGTACTTTAAAGCGAAGAGAATATTCAGACCCTTGATGCAAGCCGCTCTGTGGGGAGTCTTGGTATCCGGTACCCGGTTACTCAAAAATCGGCACTCGGTTCCATCTTTCGGTGATGCTGGTTGCGTTGCGGTTTGCGACTGTACCCGTTCTTGCGCCTAGAGCGTTTCAACTATCACTAACTTGTGTGACGCTCCGGCTGCATTTTCCTGAAATAAATAGCAGGAACAATCGCATATCCGAAAAAGCTTAGGGCGAAGGCGATAGCTTACCGGTGGAGCTGATTGTGTGTGAATTTGTGTCCGTTTTGGCGCCAAGGGACTCGTAAAGAAACGCTCACACTCTCTTCCTTCAAAAACTTCATAAACCAGAGAGCAGTTCTTCAGTCGGACCATCGACTCAAGGAAATTCGGCAACAAGCTATCAGCAAACCCCATTGCTTACCAGCAAGCTGACTGTGCTTGCGGTCATATCAGTCTCAGCGCCGACGACTGGTACACGAGCGGGGAAGAGATAAGCGATCAGCAAACCCCATAAGCGATAGCTTACCGCGCCGAGGAACTCGTACACGAGCGCAAGTGTTTCCCCTTAGAAAGATAAGAATGAAAATAGCGCTCCTGGATCTGAGGCGTCTAGTCATCGGAAGTAAGAGATTAAGTATCAACAATATCTCGTATGCTATAGCTTATTGTCGAAACTGAAAGTGTTTGGGGTCGTATCCGGTCCCCACGCCGAGGAACTCGTTTTCTTCCACGTGCAAATCATAGTAGCGCTCCTAGATACGAACCGTCTATTCACCGGAAGTAACGAATAAGCTATCAGCAAAGTTCATAGGCTATTGGCTCACCGGCGAAACTGAGCGTATTTGCGGTCGTATCCGTCCCCGCGCTGAGGAATTCAAACACGAGCGCAAGGATCGCCTTGTCCGAAAGCGGCTCCCCTGTCGTCTTGTTCCGGGCTTGCGTCAGCATGCTCAGGAAGTCGTGCCGGGTCTCTGCCACGTCAGCCTCCTGCACGGGACACGTCAGCAACCTCAGAAGCCGCCACGTCAGCCTCCTGCACAGGAGACGTCAGCAACCTAAAGTAGAGTAACCGAGTTTATGCATCTGCCTTCGTGACGGCGTCCCGTGCACGCAGTACGACGTCAGCACGTCACGAAGCGAGACACGTGCTTCGAGGCTTGGGCTTGACGGCTCGTTTTTCCTCAAACAGGGGGCCTATTTACACCCTGGTCTGAGGGTCTGTTCACACTGTTGCGCCTCTGGAGTCTGGTAAACGCGAGTCGGTTGCCGTGCGCGCTCAGAAGTTTCGCCGCACAAAGAACGTCCGCTTGCCTACAAGAACGTGTTTCTTTTTAAAATGTCCCGACTGCGAGTTTCTGACGTTACTAAGATGAGAGTCGGCTGTGTAAAGTTCTTGTTAAAATTGCTGTCCGCGTTTCCACCCCGGGGCGCCATCAATTGATTGTGGAACCGCCACGTCAGCAAGCTCTGCCAATGTTTCCGATCTGGGGCTGGGTCACAGTTTTCGGCTGTACGCAGGAGTGATACATTTGCTTTGGATGCTCAACGGGGCGCCACGTGTCTGCGTCTTGCACGGGAACGTTAACCAAATTCCGGGTTAAGAGCTTGGCGGAAAACAAGGGACATCTGAACGTGTTACAGGTAACAGGATTTGAATAGATTCTCATCTCGTGCGCTCCAGATATGTTCCCCACGTTCCAAAGATCCAGATTGCTGAGATGCCTTAAGAGTAGCCGCCTTCCCAAGAAGCAATAGAAACCAAGCAGATTCTCCAAGCCATACATCGACGTATGAGATGACCAGAATGCAAAGACGAAAGTCCGAACACACTCTCTCACTTTCCGTCGCGCCTCGATGATCTTCTGGCTCTCCCGCAGTATATACGCGGTCCGTTGCCTATGGACGTAATCGGCCGACCCAGGGATCCGTAACATCATCCATTGCGCGGGCTTCCGGAGGGGAGGGAAGAGGATCGCCAGGAGAGTACTGATGCGCAATTTCGCGATGTTGTTGAGGTTTTCGCTCACGGCTTTTGTCAGGGTAAGGCCGTCGGTCTTTTCGCCGACCTGCGCAAAGAGGAGCGAAGGACGTTTCAGTGCGGGTGATTGTGCCTAGGCTGCCTTAGAAGAGGACATGATGGGCGTTTGATCTTCGGATGACATAACCGGGAATTGAATGTCATTCAGACCGTGCATATGGGTCTTGCTTTTCTTCCTGATCTTCCATCTAAGGAACCAAGACCGCAAAGAAGAGAACGCTATCGCGGCTAGGCTGGAACCTCTCTTACCTGAGGAAAGAAAAGACCTACTAGATGGAATGGCACACGATGGGGCTTAGCAACTCCGGGAATCAGAACCGCGCGTATGTATTCGGATTCAAGGTTCTGAAGTGGATTTGGAAAGATTGAGCGATCCAGAAACTGCGATGCTGCTCGAGTCAATTGCTTAAGGTTGGGGCCCTTCGTCTCTTCGCCCACCTTGAGGTGACTGGAAATTTTGAAAAGCCGCTTGAATTAACAGCAAATTCATCCGGAACATTTTATTCAACCAGTGACGAGAACAAAGAGCTCAAGCGCGACTTGGCATGCTTTTTTAGACTAGGTTCAGGAACTTCGTCAGGTTTGGCCTTCCGTCTTTCGGTGAACCTGGAATAATGAGAGGAGCTCAGTAGAGAAGACGATTGAGCACGAGAAGTCGTACCTGGCATGAACAAGGAAATCTGAAAGAAGTGTAACATCAAAAGCCGCCTCTTACTCCGGTTTTTTGCAACGCCGATCGAACCTGGGATTGATGCCGAAGGCAAGCATTCCCAAGACGTCCATGAGCATTTATCCGACCACTCTACATGACTTGTTCTCCTCTTACAATTGACTTTTCGAGGCGCGGTTGTGTAGAAGAGAGACGAATCACTGACGCAAAATGGACTCTCCAAGCGAACATCCCAGAGTCTCACCACAAAGTTGGAAGCGACTCGAAACCCGCAAGAAAACCCGACACGGATCCATGGTCATCTCCCCTGTCCAGCAAGTTGATCTGCTCCATATTGAAGCCGCTTTCTTGAAGCCCAAAATTCAAGGACAAAAACTTTAAAGAAGATCACCGATCTCTGATGGAAATTCCCAGGCCATTACCTACCTGACTGTTGAAAGTAACCCCAAAGGCGGAAGACCCCAACACGTCCATAGTCCCATTCCAGCATGTTGATCAGCTCCTTGTTTTCAGCTGCTTTCCCGAAAGCGTTGTAGAAGCTCTCAAGAATCAGTGCAAATGACTGTGTTCACCTGACTGTTGAAAGTAACCCCAAAGGCAGAAGACCCCAACACGTCCATGGTCATCGCCCCCGCCCACTCCAGCAAGTTGACTTGCTCCTCGTTTGCAGCCGCTTTCTCGAGTCGCGCCACCAATTGCTCCGCGCATTCGTGCATGGTACGGCCAAAGTGCTGCAGCTTTGCGGTGTGAAAAAGGGGGAGCACTGCGTTGCGCACGCCCGTCCAGTATTGGCCCCTGCAAGCGTGGGACATAGGATGATGGTTTTGGCTTTGGCAAAATGCGGTTATGATACTATGTGGTATAAAGATTGAGAACCAAGGACATCAGCCAAAGTGCCGGAGTTTCGCGGAGTGCAAAAGGGGGAGCACTGAATTGCGCACGCCCGTCCAGTATCGGCCCCCTGTAGATGGGAAATAAAGATAGGTTGGCTCGGGGCGATTTAATTTGGGGGGGCATGCATGGCTGATGAACATCGAAATGTTGGATTTTACGGTGTGAAAAAGATACGCCGCCGTGCGCACGCCAGTCTAGTACTGGCACCTGTAGACGGAAGAAAGATGTTATATTCTGGGTTTCAAAAGCATTGGGTTGTTTTGCTGTAGGGCGTAATTTGGAACGGCTCAAATGCTGGAGTTTTGTTGTGTGGAAAAGGGGGAGCACAGCGATTCCGCACGGCAGTCCAGTACTGCGCTTTGTAGATTCCGACATGGAGATGGATTGGCTTGGTTCGGGGTTCTGATTTGGATGCTTCAAGCGTTTCGAGTTTGGAAGAGCAGTGCATGCCTCGGTGCCGCCAAAGTGCTGGAAATGGGGAGATCAGCGTTGCGCAGGCCCATGCTGTATGGCCTCGGTACATGGGATATGGAGGTGGTTTGAACTCAATATGGCGACTGGAATTGTGACGCTCCATCGTTTTGATTCTGGCAAGCATGCGTGCCTGATAAGGCTAAAAGTGTTTGAGCTTTCTGAATGAAGAAGGGGGAGCACAACTGCTTTGCAGACGCCCCGTTTTGTACTGGCCCTTGCAGAAGGAAGACAGATTTGATAGCCTGGGTTTTCAGAAATAAGGGTTTCTTTAACAACATACGGCGTGAGTGTGGGACAACCGAAGATGCATGGTGCGGCCGAATCGCAAAAGCTTCTACCTATGTCTGTGGTGGAGAGAAGCATCTGCAGACACGCTCTATTTCAGAAGGAATCTCAACTACGAGCATCGCAGAATGGAAAGAAGGGCAAGATTCTCACTTGCTAAAGACGAGCGCCTTCCCGGCACGCTCCTCATCCACAAAACCTGGCATCGGCCGGTCGTGGAACGTCTTGAACATCCGCACCCCCACCTGTGAAGGGAAATCGAAGCGCTTGGTTTAGCCTAAACCGCAGTTGAGTTTCATCATCTCTACCGCGGGGGAACATTTCTTATTGACAGTCGGGTTTCAACCGAGCCTCTCTTTTCTTGTGAGAGGATAGTATGGGCTTTCCTCCCGGGTATATGAAGAATGTCAGGAGTTCATGTGTGGTTATAAGGTCGGTTCTTTGAGACACCACAATGCTGGGCTTGTGTCTGATTCTAGGATTGAAGTTTGCCTTGCATGAAACATGGTTCTGGACCAAGACTGAGTGACGGCTTCATGCGCTTTTCACAGACTCGCGAACAGCAGCGTTTGGTCCACAAGTCTTTATTCAGGCACTATCTGTGCGGTGCAAGTTGTCATTGATCGAAGGAAGTGCTTGCATGAAATAATGATCTCAGAGAAACTCCCACGCCAAGGCAGCATTGGGCCGTACTTTCGGTTGGGCCAGACTGCCCCTTTCAAGAGATATTCAGGAAACAAGCTGTTCAAACAGAACTGAGCCATTGGTGCTGCTGTGATACATAACGACAACAAAAAAGAAAAGGGGCGTGGGACTGCCTGACGCAAACCCAGCTTCTGCAAAACTGAGACACATGTTGAATACATCGTGCGAAAGTGCAAGATGGTGAAACGCGTCTTGCGATACCCCAGCCATGGCGCAAAACTATGATACCCGCTGATTATTCTCTGGAGAAGCCCAACCATGCCAAGGTACTCAGAAGGGCTGCTGTTGCTTGCTTGGAAATTTGATTGAGAGCTGACAATAAATGGGGAGCTGGTGACTCACATGAAATGTTTCACCCGCAAATTGTACCACCCAATGTTTTACGAGATCATCAGGCCACACTACAATTGTCCTGCCAAAGCCCCAGTGCCATGTACAGTTCTACAGGACATTATCCTGAGAATTGTGCAAGCTTTGCATTGTCCTTTCTGCAAAATCTCTTTTCCAACCATCATCTTGCAATAAGGGTAGTCGCCTCAAGTCCTCATCTTGACCCGCAACGACAGCATTATAATGAAAGCATACAGGCAGCTCGGGCGCGGACGCTAACAAAATTGAGACCTTAGGACGGTGCTCACCTGCTGCACAATATCAGGGTCTGACACAACCAGCAACGTGTCCCCCATCACATACTTATACATTGAGCCATAAGTCCTCAACCATTCCTTGTGGCATTCATGATACCCTTTGCTGAAGAGCTCAACCAGGTTTCCTACAATAGGATAAGAAGGCGGCCCAGGAACCTTGCGGAGCGCGCGGGCCGCCTTTGTAGGAACAAATATGCGGACGGAGAAGAGCAGAATTGTTAAAAGCCCGATCAGAACAGTCACGCTTTGGGCTGAGACAAAGTGGTGCGATGCTTCCAGGTACTGCTGCAGAAGCTCCATGGCGAATGTCCTTTGCGAGAGTCAGAGAGTCCGTCTTTGGCCCTCTCTTGTGCGGGCGAGCTCTGTCTAAATCATGATTCAATGCAAGCTCCTCTGCAGAAGGCAACAAAGGACTCAGGAGCCGGAGAGGCTTCTCGTGGTTGCATAATGCACCCGTGCGCATTTCTTGGCTTGCCTCTTGCTGTGATTATGAAACTTGCATATGTACGTTGTGCAAGCTCGGGCATATTTTGCCGTCGATTTCGAATCAGTTATGCAACTTCAGCCGTCGCTGACGCAGAAAGATTGACAATTGTCGCGCGAAGTTCACTGGACCGTGGGAAGGCTGATCAATCAGGCGGCGGTTTGAAACTTTCCAGTCAGCAGGCTATAGCCTAACTTAGGCCGGCTGGACTCGCTTTTGCATTCTGGCGTTTTTTGCATTCATTGCATCAATCTTCCGCAGATCTAATGCGGGCCTCGAAATACTTTTAACATGGTTCTCTCGACGGATGCGTATACAGCTGGTCTACAAGGCTGCATAATGCAGTCTTGACTGTCTAGAATCAAGAATAGGGGGGATTATACATTTCCAAAGCTTATACGATTATACCACACACTGAGTTTCAACTTGAAGCCCGCATTAAATATGATTATTTGGAGGAACTCGGCTCTTACCAGCCATAATATCTGAGACATGCACAAGGCTACTCAATTGCTCCGTTCCAGTCAGTCTATTGTACTTACTCTGTTTTGCTCAGGTGCCTGTCCGGCTCAGTGTACCAGAGACTGAGGAAAGTGCAAAAGTGGTACCAGTGGTACCTCTGTATGAGGCTAGGATATATAGAGGTGGGAAGTGCAGCTGGAACCCAGCTGCAGCTGGAAGTGGGTGGGAATTGAGATCTGAAACACGAAAGTGGTAAGCAAAGGCGAGGAGTCTCTGCTGCTCTGCTATTGAACTACCATTTGCCCTGATGCAGCCTCAGCAGCTAACCCCCTCATTCCCCCCGCGCCCCGCGGCCTCTCACCCTTGACCCTGCTCCAACCAAGACAGCTAATTCTAAGGATCGAATTTGTTTAGAGCTCGACCTTCGTTTCACAATTACGGCCAACAGAATAAGGCAAGAGAAAAGGCAAAGTCTGCTTTGTAGTGAGCGACGTAGGCGTCAGGAAGGACTCTCTTCGTGTGTAAACCTGGACGTCTAGACTTACAGCTTCCAGCTGGTACTGCCGCCGCAGCAATCTACCATTTAAACAGAGCTGGCATGCGGACGAGCAAACATGCTCCTCCCAAATCTCGGTTGCGCGGTCGACTTCCAATCCAGGAAACCAACTGGTAAAGTCCGGTCAGCCTATTAGCCTACTATTATTGAGACTAGCTGTAAATATCCTTGTAAGACCATTTTGCTTGCATCGAATTCAGTCTGGATGCGTACGTTTGTGTTTTGCAGTGCGTAGTAGGGTTCAATCGAGTCTGGGACGGAAGGAAGTCGGGGACGAGGACGAAAATGGGGATGGCAAATTTACAAATGGCAAATTTATTGGATCCACACCATACGGGCACCATACCGGTAAAAGATTTGAGTTATCCGGGCACTTCAAACTAGATACCTAACCAAATTAATCACCCGCTCCGGCACCCCAACCCACCCTAACCACCTAACTAACCCACCCGACCCCCGGGTGCGTATCTTAGGTCACATGCCTCTTAGGTCACATGCCGAGAGTTTAGTCGGACTACCGGCACCTTCATTGCCCCTCCATGGGCGCCGACCGGCTGCTCCGCCTGGAGCCTTACCAGGTATGCGAATTGTTCGTCGCTCTAGTTGTATCTCCTAATCAGTGTTTACTATTTTTTGCTGGATGTTCGATCGGACGATTCTCGACTCTCTGCGCTTGTGAACTCCTGAGAAAATTCTGCCACCCTTGCGTGTATCGAGGCAAGCTCTTGAGCTTTTTTGCCACGAGCAACAGCGCCCCAAACCGGAGACCTGCACGTACGATCGAACCGGTAGGTCCCATTCACACGAAGTTTACAAGAGAGGTAAACGTATATGTCAAGGAACCCATCAAAAAGGTGCAGGCAAAATGTAATAATGTCCGCCTCGAAAACGCGTACGATCTTCCAAAAATAGATGGATGCAGCCTTATAAGTTGCCACTGTACTCTGTTTATGATTTTGGACATGCTGACGCTGAACGGCGGTTTCTCCTTGTGCGCGCGAAAACGATCAACCACTTTTTCGGCATGCTCGTGCAACGCTAAGCTCCAGAGCGACCGTCCACTTTTATCCATGCGACTTACGCAGTGACAATTCTCACGCGGAGGTCACTTGTTGTTGGAATATTCGATCCGCTTCTAGAGCTGCTAACATATCAACATATACCGTTTAAAGTCGATCCTAGTTTAAAGTCCTATGTATGTATCGCGGCGGCAGCCGCTTGGTAAGTATTTTCACTGGCGTTCAACTTCATGCAATGATCAGAGAACATCGAATATTGTTGCACAAATACATCGCGTTCAACTTCGTCAATGACTTGGGTTTTCTGCACTCGGCGCGACGATATTGTGATGGTATAGCTCCAAACATTCCAATATATCAACCATATGTTTGTTAACTGGGTACGTACGGCCGGTGCCTCACCGGTGCCTTTCACAAGGCAACTCTTGCAAACATTGAGGCTTTCAGCAGACTTGATCTGCTAAAGTCCCTGATCGTGGGATGGTGCCGCCGGCGAGACCAAGCTACCACTGCAGCAAAAAAATTCAAACACATCATCCGACTGATCCGGCCCCCCTGTCACACTCTCTTCCGGTCTCAAGATATACAGTGATACGTCCGATTTGTCTACTACTTCAATGACCTTATTTGGATGGTACAAATTGCGAGCCACTCGAACGTCTATCTTTGTAGAAAACATGCAACGGCACCAGAACCGGCTTCCGGTACGAATCGCATGCAACTTTACACGCTACTAGATTACTAAGATCATCACGGCGCGAACTCAGGGTTGACAACTTCACTAACGCTGTACTTGCGGCACGACCCACATGCCGTTCCTTGGCTTCAGCACAATTCCCACTTGAAGATCTAGCTTTCCGTCAGGCCGCAGAATCTTCTCGTTGACCACCGAAAAGGTGAGTGTCTTGTAAAGCCGAATGAGCGCGAGCTTTGCTTCTTCCATCGCAAAGCGGTGTCCCAGACACATCCGTGGGCCAAGCCTGTAAGACATGGAGATAAGCGGTGGGTTTGAGGATCATATTTCAAGATGAAAGGGGCAAAGGCTCTTTTCCCTCAATAAACTTCAAAGAACCGGAGAGAATGACACCGGCTCTTAACAAATGGGAGCATTCCCAGTTGGCAAGGCAACGAGGAAGCGCGGAACTGCGCGAGGGCTCTGGCAAAGCATCAAATGTCTGGTGCACTTGCGATTGAGATAGTACTTACCCGAACGGGATGTAAGCGTACGGATGCCTTCCAGCAACTTCCGCCGGATCGAACCGTTCCGGGCGGAACTCTTCTGGGTCGGGAAAGACTTCCGGGTTGTGGTGCATGGCGTAGACCGGAATCAATACCTGTGGAACGGAATCGGAGCTTCAAGGAGAAGGACTTGGACGACCTTTTCAAAATGGAAGGTGCCGCGAGAGTCATGTTAGAAATGCTGTTCTGACGTCAGATGTATCCAACGTCGGCATACTTAACGGTCGTCAAATTCCGACGCTACTCTGTTCAACGTGAACTGCAGAGACTGGTGAGAGCTGCGGAGCAGAACCAAAAGTTAGGGGTCCAGCGGGTTCGTCCATGGAAGTCGACTAAAAGTTGAGAACCCGCAGTCGAACCTAGTGACCAGACCTGAGATCTAAAGACCACTTCAAGTTGAACCCCTCCGGACTGAACCAAGACAAGAGCTGCGGTAAGAAACATTCATTTGAAGGAGAAGGGTGCAGTCTCCTCAAGCATGCGGAAGCAAAATGATTTCAACCACCGATGAAAACAACGCGTATGCCAATGCAATGGATATTTTTTGGCAGGGTTCATCGGCACCGTACATTGACGCCCTTGGGCAGGTGGATGCCCGCCACCTGGCAGTCCTCGGACGCCTGGCGCGAAAGAACGGCTCCCGTCGGGTAGAGCCGCAGAGTCTCTTGGACCACCTGTGAGGAGAGCGACCAAGAATCACTTCGATTTTCCCCTCGCACGAGGCCTTAGAAGTCGGACTGACCAGAGTCGTCCTGAAATCTTCCCCGCAGAAGCCCTCAAAATTCGGAGCTTTCACATGGACCAAAAGCAAGAGCATATGACTGGACTGACCACTGTTCCGCCAGATGAGACAGCGAAGACAGCGGAAAAGCGGAAAAGCGAAAAAGCGGACTGACATCTCGTGCGGACAGCCGAAACAGACAGTGCCGTAGCCGCGAGACTTGTCAAGAGAAACGAACGGGTGGTCGTGATTCTTGTCGAGAATAGCGGCTTGTGTCCTAACGCGACGTATCAATAGTTGTAATAAATACTGCCTTTCGTACTCTCCCGAAATCCGGAAATTTCAACCCCGCGCTAAGTTGTGCTTGTCTGACAATAAGTACTACTCGTGAGCTTTGCTGGAAAAAGTCTTCTCTACGTTTCCCTCGACTAACAAGAGGAGAGGGCACCATGCACAAATCTTTCATTCAATCTGCAAACAAGAGAAGAGGGCAGATACAAACCATCCGTCATTCAATCTGCCGATAACAGAAGAGGGCGCCAACCAAAACCAATCTAGTATCTTCTCCATCTCTCGTAAGAACGGTGCAACACTCTCCAAAACAACCAAACACCCTGTCTTCACGCCCGGGCAAAACCCTGTGTAAACAAAGTTGCACAAAACAACCCTCCGCCGATCCTTACCTGCTCGACGTACGGAAACTGGGCCAGCTCGTCGTACGTCGGGCGGAATGCCGTGTCCTTCACTCCTTCTTTCTCGAGCTTCTCGTAAAAGGCGCGGATCTCGCGGCGCATCTTTTCCTCGGCCGCCGGGTTGTTGGTCAACGAGTACACTGCAGAGACCGGCCGGATCAAAGCGAGTTCGTGGCTTATGCCATTCAGGATCCTATTCCGGCCAACTTAAACTTCGGAGGAGTCCGGAAAATGTTACAAATATCCGCCTTTGGCCTAAGATAGCTCGAAGATTTGGATGGAAAACTTTTGTCGACGGAAAATTTTAGTCCAAATAGCCAGATCAGACAGAAGGATTGCAGAGTTGGGTCATCTTTATCGCCTCGTTTATTTTGCGCCAAACAGAACCAAACAGAGCGGACTAGGAGAAGCACCATCAACGGGTCAAGCCATCATTACCTTATGAGCAATACCCATCGCTTATCCGCGCAGCTGACGGTGTCAGAAGTCGAGCGCGACTCTTAATAAAATCGGCCTTATTGACCATCATTTGTTTTATCCGCAGAATCCAGAACTAAGAAAGATTCATCACTTTGCTCGAGAAAACGTTTGCTTCAAGCATTGCCTATCGATTACCGGCGACGCTGATTGTGTCAGCAGTCGCATTCCTCATACATGAGCGACTAGATCCCAGCAAGGCCCCCCTAGCAGTTCTCTGAGAGGCGCAGTTGCATCTAATGAATAGCTTAACAACGTAACCATAGCTTACCGGCAAAGCTAATCGCGTTGGCCGTCGTAACCGTCACGGCGCCAACAGATCCAAGATTGACCAACTGAAAGTTTCGGTCAAAAGCCACAATATGTGCAGCAGTACTTCTGCATAAATTCACCCGTGTTTTACCGGTGAAGCTGATCAAGTTGGCAGTCGTATCCGTCCCCGCACCAAAGAAAGTGAAAACCAACTGACTCTTTCCGTTGAAGACTCAGAACGCGCAGCAGTAGTATTACAGGAACTTAATGGCTTCTAATAGATTATGAGCCAACCCAAAGCTTACCGGCGAAGCTTAACGTGTTGGCAGTCGTATCCGTCCCCGCACCAAAGAAAGTGAAAAGCAACTGACTCCTTCCGTTGGATACTCAAAAACGCGCAGCAGTACTATTGCAGGAACTTATGACAGCTTATGAGCATACCCATAGCTTACCGGCGAAGCTGATTGTGTTGGCAGTCGTATCCGTCCCCGCACCAAAGAAAGTGAAAAGCAACTGACTCCTTCCGTTGGATACTCAAAAACGCGCAGCAGTACTACTGCAGAAATTTATGATAGCTTATGAGCATACCCATAGCTTACCGGCGAAGCTCAACGTGTTGGCTGTCGTGTCCGTGCCCGCGCCAAGGAACTCGTACACGATCGCCTGGATCGACGCGTCCGAGAGAGGCTCTCCCGTGGTCTTGTCCCGGGCTTGCGTCAGCATGCTCAGAAAATCGTGACGGGTCTCTGCCACGTCAGCCTCCTGCACGGATGATTTCTAACAGTCTCGTTCCTCTACATCCCATAGCTCTCAAAAAAGATAATAGTAAGCCAAGATAATAGTAAGCTCCAACTAACAATAAAAACCCTGACCTATAATGAAACACCCGCTCCGCACCCGTACCCACCCTAACCACCATACTAACCCTACCCGTCAAAGTGCGGTTACCTTATTATTATCTGGGCTAAATATTATTTTTCTTGAGTTTCATCTACTCCTCGTCGTTCTGCTCCCAGATTGCCTCTTCACCTTCCATTCTGACTTTTAATTGTTAATTCGTTTTGCTGTTTTGTTTTTGTTAAAATTCTTCCTTTCTGCAAACAGCTGCTTCGGGTCAGAACACTTGCAAATCGAAGGCTATCGCGCTCGAGAGACGCAGCTTGATCTTTGATGACGCAAAAGGGGTCGGAAAGCTTTTACCCAGGCGTTTCACCCAAGCGCTTTTAACACGCCGCAGAACTTTAGCATGCTTAGATCCCCACTCCATATCGTTCGTGACAGCGGTAAAGCGTCGGCATTGAGCCTGCTGTATAGAAGACCGCAGAACAGATGACGTCGGCTTGCTTCCAAAACCCCGCAGCGCTCGATCACACTGAACTACGTGACGAAGGCTCTCAACAGACCCTTTACATTTTGAGTCAGTGGACCCTCAATTTGTGTTCTGAATGTACCAGGAAGCTTTTGGAATTAGCGGGGTGACCTCGACCGACTAGCACAGAATCAGAGCAAGGCCTTGAAAATCAAGCGCGAGTCTAGCGAAAGAAGGTTTCTATTGACAAAGACGGAAGATCAGTAACGAGCGCGGGCAGAAAAAGCGAACGGGCGACTTTGTTACGACGACACGTACGGGCATAAAGAATACTAATCATCGACAAGAACAAAGACACAAATGCCGTGACAAGCAAACGGCGTTCGCAGAAAAGCGAACGGACATTTCCAATACGACGTGGCGTTCGAGAAAATGAAAACAAGAGATACTCCCTATCGACTAAAAACAAAGGCAGAGGGAGAGTGACGAGCCCGGCTAGAAAAAGCGAACGGGCGACTGTGATATGACGAGACGTACTTCAGTGCATAAAGAAGACTGCTCATCGACAAGAACAGAGACAGGGAAGTAGCAAGGAGCGACGGGCGTTTGCAGAAACGCGGCAGTTCCGATACGACGATACGTACGCGAATAAACGAAAAACAGTGATACTCCTTGTTGACAACAAACAAGAACAGAAGAGCAGTAACGAGCGAAGGGCATTTGCAGAAACGCGAACGGGCAGTTCTGATACGACGATACGTACGCGAATACACCAAAAAACAAAGATACTCCTTATTGAATACAAACAAGGTCAGAAGAGCAGTAACGAGCGAAGGGCATTTGCAGAAACGCGAACGGGCAGTTCTGATACGACGACACGTACAAGAATCAAAAGAGGATCAGAGAATAGAAAATCAGAGAATAAGATGGCCCTCACTTTCCGTCGAGCCTGGATGATCTTCTTGCTCTCCCGCATCATGTAGACGTTCCGCTTTTTACCCACGTTGTCACCCGTCCCGGGAATGAGTGACATCAGCCATTGCGCGGGCTTCCGTAGAGGAGGGCACAGGATCGCCAGGAGAGTGCTGAAGCGCAGTTCCGCCATGCTGGCGAGATTCCCGCTCACGGCCTTTGTCAAATTGAGGCCCTCGGTCTTTTCGCCGACCTGCGGAAATAGAAAGGGAAGATGAATGTGTCCGCAAATCCTGCTTGGCTGACAAAAGCGGTCGATCTTTGTTTGGGCTTGGATCCCAGCTGATGAAATCAGATTCTGATGGTATTTGCTTCTCTTCGGACCTCATTTTCTACCGAAGCAAGCAGAATGCGAAAGCACAGTTGCCACCGTGCTGTCCGAAGATTGGCTCACGCTAAACTTAGGTTGGAAACGCCATTTTCCAACCAACACTGAGAGAAGGAAGCACCAACTAAAATGGACGAAAAGAGGAGATTCTGAATGCGTCCATGGCCATCGCCCCTGCCCACTATAGCAACGCAACTTGCTCGCCCTTTGCATTCGCTTTCTCAAAGAGCGAACTCAGTTGACAGGTCACAAGATTAATAGTTAAGACCCAGGGTTTACCTGACCGTTGAAAGTGATCCCAAAGGAGGAAGACCCCAACCCGTCCATTTAAGCAGCTTGACTTGCTTCCTCTTCAGAGCCTTTCCCGGGTGCACATTTGGAACTGAGATTGACGAATTACTACACCAAACCTTCCCTAACCAAGATCCAGAATCTCACCTGACTGTTTGGGAAGAAACCCAAAGGCAGAAGACTCCAACACGTCCACGGTCAATTGTTCCTCACCCTTCAGCGGATCAACTTGGAACCCGTTCTCATCCACTTTCTCGAGGGGCACACCTAAGACTATAAGCGACAAAGAGCAAAATCAGAACCTTCCCTAACTGCAATCAAGATCTCACCTGACTGTTGAAAGTAACCCCAAAGGCTGAAGACCCTAACACGTCCATGGTCATTTCCCCCGCCCATTCCAGCAGGTTGAGTTGCTCCTTGTTCGCAGCGGCTTTCTCAAGGCGCGTTACCAAGAGCTCTGCACACTCATGCATGGTACGCCCAAAGTGCTGAAGCTTTGCGGTGTGAAAAAGGGGGAGCACTGCGTTACGCACGCCAGACCAGTATGGGCCCCTGTACATGGAACAAAGATAACGTTTCAGAGAAATAGGGTTGTGATTATCAAGGGTGTGAGCACTGCGTTGCACACATATGTCCAGTATTGGCCTCTGTAGAAAGGATATAGCTCGACTGATAATTTACGAAATCATATTTCGATGCTCCAAACGTTTCAATTATGCAGGTCAGTTGGCAGATAAAGACAAGCACAGATGCTCACTTGCTGAAGACAAGCGCCTTGCCCGCTTGATTCTCATCCAGAAAGCCTGGCATCTGCCGGTCGTGAAAAGTCTTGAACATACGGATCCCAACCTGCAAAATTAGAGCTTCATTGTTCAGCTCTACTCCAAGGAAATGGCCTTCTCTACAGTCAGGATTCTCAATGACAAGCGTCTTTTCTTCGTTGTGATTGCAAGGCAGATAGTGTCTGCTTCCCTTCCGGAGAGAAGGGAGTGTCAGGGGTTCATGTGTCGTTTACGAGGTTCTCTTTAGGAACTCCAGTGCCGGGCTTGTGTCTGATTTAATGAGAAAACAGTCCTTCCAACAAGCATGGTTTTGGTATGGTATTGAGTGACAGCTTCACGAGGTTTTTGTTGGTATGCGCCCTAAGCAGCGCCTTGGCCAAAAAGTTCCAAAAGCAATCTCCATGCTGTTGCAGTTGTCATGACTAGAGAAAGCGCTTGCAATGTTCATAGACCTCTCTGACAAACTTTTGCCCTTGGCAGCTCTTGGCTGTCCAGTTTCTTGTCCAAACTGCCCCTTGATAGAGATGTTCATACACAGACTTGTAGAACCAGAAATGACCACTGAAGGTGCTGTCATATATCACAATAATGAAAAGGAAAAAGAGCACTTGGGGTTGCGGCTTGAATTGCATGATGCAAACCCCATTTTTGCAACACTGTGGAATCGCGTACTCTTTTGTTAAGAACCAGCTATGACTTTTGACTTCAGAGGTTTGATGCTGCTCACATGAAACATATTGAAGGGCTCACACACGAATGCTGCCCTTGCGACTACTTGAAGAATGGTCGCCGACAATCATACCACCACTAACATTTTTTGAGGTCATTTCATCTTTCATTATTCAACTTCAAATAGAACCTCAGAAGACATTGCTAGATATACTTGTGAACCTCCTCATCTCTTAATCATCTTGCAGCAATGCTAGTCGCTTCCATCCTCTCCTGATCATCACCAAAACAACGTACAGCATTGTACTGCATGCATACGACCAGCTCAGGCGCAATCAGACGCCGCCAGAGGCTTGCAGAGTGCTCACCTGCTGCACAACATCAGGGTCTGAAACCACCAGCAACGTGTCCCCCATCACATACTTATACACCGAGCCATACATCGATAGCCATTCCTTATGGCACTCATGATACCCTTTGCTGAAAATCTCAATGAGGTTCCCTACGACGGGATAAGAAGGAGGCCCAGGAACCTTGCGCAGCCAGCGGGCCGCCCTTGTTGGGACGAAGATGCGCACCGAGAAGAGGAGAACGGTCAGAAGACCAGTCAAGACGGTTACAGCTTGAGCTGAGTTGGATAAGGAGTGGAGCTGCAATGCCTCCAGGGACTGCTGCAGACGCTCCATGGCTACGCCCTTGGTTAGAAACTCTTCTCTCCTTGCTTTGGAGCTAGCAAGCTTTTGTCCTTCAGGTTGTTGTTCAAAGAGCTTTTCGGATGGGGCTGCTGTTGTGAAATGTTCCAGAAAAACAAGCAAATCATTTCATATTTAATGCTGACTTGCTTCTTCGTCCCGTGGATGCATAATGCAGCATATGTACACGGTCGTGATTTTTGTGCCGTCCGATATTCCTTCTGAAAATATGCCGTCGATAAAACTCTGTGATCATTACTCAGTCAAGTCAAATCAAGTGTGGTAAATGAAACAGGCGACGGTTAGAGCGTCTCAGCCGGCTGAACTCATTTTACACTCGGTTCAAGCCATTTGGACTCCGAGCCTGATGCACTATTCTAAGGCCTACTGTAACACGTGAGCAGCACTGGATTAAGGGCCTTATGGAATATCTTGTGCACATCACGGTAGAGTTTGTATTGACAGCGATGAGATCAGTGCAATTTGGTGCAACGTTCCAACGTTAATTAGTCCAGCACCTAAAATATCATCAACTATGAAAAGGAGGTTCTTCAATGTCGAGAAAGAGGCCTGAGCCACTGAGCTGCTAAGGCGGCGCCCTAAGGCCGCTTCTTGTCGACGTAGTCTGTAGTGGGTAACAATGTGAAGAAAACAGATTCTAGGATTTGAGGAAAGATATGATACTGTGCTGTCGCGTCATATTGCATATCATCAGCAGTGTCAGAATGCTTAACCGGACATAACTGTCCTAGATTCCGTATGCAGATCACTTGGGAAAAAGATTGTGCATGTATTTACACGTAGGATCTTGGATATGCATGCAACACGCAGGAGACCTTCAAGATTCTTGATGAATGATATTATAGTGAGCGAGAGGCGGCGAGATAGCCAAACGCTTTGTCACACTGCGGCCAGGAAAGAGGAGGTAGAAGACAAGGTTGCATTCGCGTGCAATGCAGATTGACTCATGGAGACCTGTGCTGGTGTCCATGAAACTCTGGTAACTCCCATTTCACTTGAGAGCCATTTCACCTAGGATAGGCGCCCGGGAGACGGGTAGGGTTGGTTTGGTGGTTAGGGTGGGTTCGGGTGCGGAGCGGGTGATTCTGTTGGTTAGGGTTTTTTGTTAGTTTGCCCGGGTAGCTCGTATGTTAACTGAAATGGCCCTTAAGTGAAATGGGAGTTACCAGTATGTCCTGGAAGGGGCGTTGAGGTTTTCAGAAAATCACGTCAGTATGCTTCCTAGACGAAGTCTGGCAGCTTCGAGGGCGATCAACACTCTGGTGGAACGTGCAATGCTGTAGTACTACAGTTGTTTTTACGTACTTGCAACGGCCAGGTGACATTCGTTGGTAGAGGAAAACTGGCGTATATTAGGGCGAAAACCGACAAGGCTTAGGTGTTGCATCAGGGATTGCCCTTCGTGACAACTCTTCCCAGAAAGGGCGAACATGCTCCCCAAGTGTAACAAAGTAACCTCTGCTCTTATAACTAGTGAAGACTCTCAGCTCCTGGTGATAGCGTTCACTTCTCAGAGAGAGCTGATGTGATTCAAACAGGTCTACGGACTTTCTCTGTTTGAGGTGCGCCTTCGATTCGGGAGGAGCATGGTTAATTCTTCACAGGCCAGCTCTGGTTGAAAGGTATGTCTCTTGCGCAGAGTGGAAGTAGCACCTTTGGAGCAGGCCCGTATTCCATCTTACGAAGCACTCATTGACAATGATTGTGATTAAGGATTCCTTCAGTCTTCGTACCTGGGGCGCTAGCAGCTGGCAACGTCGACATTAGCTCTTCTCATGAAGGAGATTCCTGTGTTTTCGTAGCTCTTTTAAGGAACAGTATGGTTTTCTGATACTTTTCTTGCCGTACTTTGCTGGTGGAACTGCAACCAAAAACGAGCTCCAGAATTCGTCCCTCGAAATTGAACTTGAAAAGATTAGCTGCTGATGCTGTATCTGGGTCCATATCTCTTTGATGGCAGACAACTCTCCCTTTACTCACCGCACTGCTGGTGCCACTCCTCAGACTCCGCTTCTATCAGCCTCCTTTCTAAGGAGCTCCTGTCCCCTGTACAGAAATTGGGCAACCACTTGAAACAGAGCAACTGATGGAGTACTTTTTCCTGTGTTAAAGGAATGGCTGGTGAAAGCCGCTTCCCTCCAAAGGATGCTCGGAAACGTGTCTCAAGCGGGAAAAAAATCAAGAAGAAGACCCTGAAACCGGCCCTCAATCTGAGCAACTGCAAGTACGAAGTCGGTAAGAATCGGATCGACGCTGTTGATATTACATGAGAACTCTGAGGATCATTCAGCGGATTCGTAACTCTTGTTTGCGGTGTAAGGTGCCAAGGACCCAGGCATACAACCCTCGAAACATGGATCAGCGAATGCTCTTACCGACATCAGGCCTCTTCGCAAAACTCCCGTAACTTCTTGATTTGAGGTCGCTATCCAGCTTTTTGAAACATAACCTCCCTCAGTCGCGTTCTGTCGTAACTCGCACTTTTGTGTGTGAAACATAAGCCCCTGCTGGACAATTCAAACAAGAGGCAAGGGAAATAAAGTCCGAGAGTAGAGCCCTTAAAATCATGTTTACAAAGTGGTTCACAAGTTTTAGCTTGTGTTGCTTTGTATGATACAGTCCGCCGGGTTCAGCGAACTTACGAGGACGAATGGCACCGTTAAAAAGAACTATGATAACACGTAGCGTCTTCATGACACATCGCCTTTTTGATGTCTAGTCCTTGAGCTCCTCCAGTCGTCGTCTGTCCTGAAACTCCGCTGAACAAATTGACGAGAGGCATAAGGGCTTGAATCCACGAGAAGAACCGTCAGACTTACAACAAGCAAAACCATTCTCATTCTCATTTTCATTTTGGAACTGATTCTACCTTACAGTGCGCCGGGTTCAGCGGACTCTAGGATGGAAGGAAGTCGGAGACGAGGACGAATGGCACGTCTACTGGACCGACACGTCAATCGGGGCAGACCGGCTGCTCCGCTTAGAGCCTTACCAGGTAAAGGTTTCCCCGCTCTAGTCTTACTTCCAACTTTGTGTTTGACCCATCTTTGCTGACTGTAAGCACGATGCGGTTCGGAACAGTACACCCTAGCGGTTACAAATTGCATCCTGCATTGAACAAGCGTATGCCATTCTCGCTTATGCAAAGAACGCCCTTTCTTTGAGCCTTTGACGAAGCGCAACGACCTCGAAGCCGCAACACAGATTCGAAACCGGACGTAGTGAGCTTTGAAGGAGTGGCACCGTGGACCAGCCAAGGAGACTGTTCGATAAGATGCTGGCAGGCCGGGTATATACCTGTGCGGCTCAAGTGTCCGCTCTCGTAGTACGGACGTACTCCTGTGAATGTGCAACTCCAGCTACGACGTAGTGCTGACGCTGATGTGAAGTTTCTCCCGGTGCGCGCGCAGAAGATCAACCACTTTTTCGGCATGCTCGAGGTCTGCCGCAAGAAGGCACTCTCGCGCAACTTTGCGGCCATGAAGAAGCTCGCGCCCAACGAGTACAACTTTATGCCCAAGAGCTTCGTCCTACCCATCGAGTGAGTTAACGAGGGAAGAGTGTGGCCATTTTGAGAGACGGTCTGCTTGGCTTAAGAAAGCGGTCACGTTCATAGCTGCACTCGGGCACCCCCTATCATAAGTACACAATTCAAATTGTGCAAAAAGAAGAAGCTCGCATGGAACGAGGACATCTTTATGCCCAAGATCTTCGTGCTGCCGATTGAGTAAGTTATCAACGCTGGCAAAGGGGGTCGAGTGTGGGCCTTTTAAGAGACGGTCTGCTTTGCTCAAGAAAGCGGTCGCGTTCATAGCTGCATTTGGGCTTTCCCTATTAGAAGTAAATAAAAACTATACAAACTGAAAAAGCTAGCCTCCAACGAGTACAACTTCATGCCCAAGAGCTTCGTGCTGCCCATCGAGTAAGTGTCCAACAAACGAATGATCGAATGCATTCGGCTTTTCAAGGAGCCGGCTTCGTGTCTCAAAGCGGCCGCGTGCAATACTCGCGCATCAACCAATGCGCCTGGGTCAGTATTTTGGAATACTCTGCTCTATGTTTTGCCGCAGGCTGCTCAGCTTTTATATCCACTCTCTACGGAGAGTTCGCTATAGGTAGTCGTCCTCAAATTCGAATCCCCATCTCAACCCTGTGACGTAATCCTGGCACAAGAGTAGCTACCATTAAAACACCTTCGGCGCAGACTGCCTTACCTTCTAACCCACTTCACGAAAACCGGCTAAGAGTTTGTCTTTCAAGCCCAATCCAGCTTCCCCGCATAAGACAGCCTTTACATGCATTACCCTCATCGTTTTAAGAAAATTTTTCCTGCAGACTCCCCGAGTTCCTAACCCAGTTCACGAAGAAGTCGGTTAAGACGTTCATCCTCAAGCCCGACACGGGCTGCCAGGGCCGCGGCATCGCGCTCGTCCAAAACGAGGCCGGGGTTTACGAGGCGCTACGAAACCTCCCAACGGAGGCGCTTGTCGCGCAAAAGTATCTTTCCAAGGTGAGCAAGGGGCTTTCGGCTTTACGGATGAGGCGTTTCGAGTTGCAAGAAACCTGGCGAGCTGTGAAAAATGTGCCGGAGGGTCACAAGCGCTTCGCAACCTGTCAACTGTGGCGCTCGTCGCGCAGGAGTATCTCCCCAATGTTGGCGATGTATGTTTTGATCGAGGGATTGATTCAAACATTCGCAAGGGTTCTGGCGCGCTCACAGGATCAAAGCTGCGACGAGCATCTAATCGCTTCGCAAGAGGCAGAAGGCAGAAGACTAGGGAAACGGCAAGAGCCATCGAACCATCTTGACCATTTCGGGGTATGATCATAGCAGAAGACAAGGACGGAATCAACGCTTCTGAAATCGCTTCACGTGGTCCTTTTCCGCAGCCCATGTTGGTGAACGACTTCAAGTTCGACCTGCGGATCTACGTGCTCGTGCTCTCGTGCGATCCTCTGCGGGTCTTTCTGTACAAGGAGGGGCTGGCCCGCTTCTGCACCGAGAAGTACGTCGCCCCGCAGAGGAGCAATCTGGTAAGAGCCCACTTCCAGTCAAAGCGATGTTGCTGACGTGGCAGGATTAAGGCGCACTATCCAACGGAGCTGGCACATGATTCACTTGCGTCGTGCGGGCTTGGCCGTTGAGCACTTAGCTGGCCAGTCTCTTTTCAAGTGATGCTGAAAAAACGCCAGCAACCCGTGAGATGGGCTCTTATCGAAGGATGCAACCGCAGTCCGACCTTACGGAAAGCGTATTCGAGCCAATGCGATGGCTTGCTTCACATAGCAGCGAGAAATCTGGGGCGCTTTTCTACAATGCAGATTCATCCAAAGAAAATCGGTAATGAGTGACTTTTATCCACTTTGTACCGGAGAGAACGAGAAATACTTAGCTGAATGATGGTCATTCGGCTGAGACTATCTTGCTGGTACCCCAGGCCCAGGCTTGCATGCATCTGACCAACTACGCGGTGAACAAGCGGAACGACAAGTTTGCGTTCAACAAAGACGCGGCCGCGGCCGACGAGGGCAGCAAGTGGTAAGGGTTTCTTGAAAACCTTGAAACCTTTGACTCAACCACCGGCTCAAAACTTGCCGGCGTAAGCAGCAAAATATTTTTGTACGTCGTCGTTGATCTGGGGTAAGGATAGGAACACTCTTTTGAAAAGTCTTGTGGAATCTCCTGGGCATTCTTTGCGGAGTCGAATCAGAAACGCATAAAGCGCACATCGGCTTGCCAACGTCTAGTACAAAGATCTCTAGAAACCCAGCTGCTTACGTGCAACGCTGGGTTTGCGGGCAGGTGTGCTTCGGTTTCTGTTTGATAATGAGGTCAGCATGACTTCATGCATTGCAGGAGCTTGACGGCGATGCTGGTGGCGCTTCGGAAAAAGGGCCACGACGTCGATAAACTATGGGAGCAGATTGCGGTAAGCCCACTTGACGCGTGGCAACTGTACTCGAAAGGGAACTATTGCAGAAGCTATGTCTCATCGAATATTTGTACGGCTTTATCAGGGAATTAGGAAAATTCATCTTAGATACTTTCAGGAGCTTGTTGCTTACCGCTTACTCCTTCATGTACTTTGAAGCTTAGCTGAATTCTTTAAGGTTCAAAAGTTGTGTAGCCCACTGATAGTGACGTCTTTTTCTCAGAGGAATGTCTGAGGGATACCCTTGAGCGTCCGTTCGACTTTACAGAACAAGACGTCTTCAAAGTCGGCAGATTGTCAATGAAAGTATGAACCTCCACTGAATCCAAAGGCAGGGACTTTTTAGCACCCGCCTTCGCTGACGTGTGCAGGACGTCACGTGCAAGACCCTGATCTCCATCCAGCCGCTGCTCGCGCACAACTACCGCACGTGCATCCCCGACGGAATTGTGGCTTCTGTTGATTCCACAATCCAGAGATTCAAACCCTAAACCGAGCCGTTGCTGACGTGTGCAGGACGTCACGTGCAAAACCCTGATCTCCATCCAGCCGCTGCTCGCGCACAACTACCGCACGTGCATCCCCGACGGCCGCGACCCCTTCTCGTGCTTCGAGCTGCTCGGACTTGACGTCATCCTGGACCACAAATGCAAGCCCTGGCTGCTCGAGGTGCGCCACGTGGCGCTCTGACATGGGTTGAAGTGCCTGCGGTTAGCAGACTTTGCGCAGAACTCTTTCAAGCGGTTCCTGTTGGGCGTCAGACTACCGGGAGGATACGATTCACAAGAGAGTCAAAATAGGATCCTCTGGATTATTTGATTGGTAGTAAAGAGAAAATTGAGGACTTTTTCTGGTTCTGCTTACACTGTCAATTTCCCGCAATTCGCCAAACTTTCCCTTTGCGTTTATGAACTTGGAACAGTTCCCCGGAGGAAACCTTGGGTCTAAAAAAAAAGGACTTTCTCCAAGATGTGCCATCGTAGATTCGGTAATCCTCAGTCGAGTTATTGATCAATTGTTCAAGACCTCACACGTTTCTACGGCTTTTCCTGATCAGGTGAACCACTCCCCGTCTTTTACCACCGACACCCCGCTCGACCTCCGCATCAAAGAATCCCTCATCCTCGAAACCCTCAACCTCGTTAACCTAGATCATCGCCAAATCCAGAAGTACCAAGAAGGGGAGAAATCGGGGGCCTTGTCACGGCTCTACAGCCGCAGACGAAGCAGCGCAAAAGAGAACCAACCTGCGGCAACAGGGCCTAAGGATCCCGGCGGAAGAGGCGGCGGACGGAATCCGCTGGAGTCAGCCAAGGAGCGGAACGCGGGCGGAAATGGGTTGCCGTCGGGTTCCGAGTCTGGTTTGAAGTCGGTTAAGCAGGGTGTCGAGAGGTTTAATCAAATTTGTGAGTCGTCTAGCAAGGAGTCAAATCGGGTTGACCGAAGTTCAGTCTCTGAAGTGGGCGCAACGGAAGAGCATTCCGTCTCTGTCGAGGAAAGCAGCGGAACTGGTGAGGCGGAACCGGAAGCGGCCAAGTCGGTGTCAGGAGGTTTCGTTGAGAAAATGGGTTTGGGGTCGGTTAGCGACGTTGAAGCGGAGCCGTCAGCGGACGGCGCCGCAACACGGCGGAAAGAACTAGAGGCGTTGCTGGAGTCGAGGCGAGCTTTCGAAGACAAGACGATGGTGAGTTGCTGGGGAGATGTCAAAATAGGAGGTCAACTCAAATCAACCATAGACGCTGGTTCTACTTGTTCCAATCAGAATGATCTTTCGAGAGAGTCACCCGGCGATTGGTCGAAATCGAATCATCGATGTGATGCCAGAGCGCTCTTAGTAAGAAAATTCGTAGGGCTTCCGGTCTCCAATCAGACCCTGTAACTCGTGTCGGGTCTTGTTGAAAATCGAATCGAAATTTGCTTCTCTCAACGAGTTCGTCATTCACGGCTAGTTACATTAGGCTTCACTGGAGTGTTCCCTTCCGCTCTGCATTTTGGAGCCTTTCCTGACCAAGTGTCAGTATTGCTGACGCAACGAAGTTGTTGGACAAATTATTAGTCTGTTCGTGGCGCACTTTCAGGTGCTGTATGAGCGCATACTGCCCTCGAGCGACCCGGCAATGGCTGCCAAGTACGAAAGGTTGCAACAGGCGGCGCAGGCCGTTTTCCAAGGTGGGCAATCGTTCGCTCAAATAATCTGCAATCAGTGTGAGTTTGCCACCGCTGCTTTCAAACTTCAGCGACACATTCTGCGCCACAGAATCTTTAAGGAAGCGTCAAGAAAGGCAAACCGTTGTATTGACCTGAGGATTCTTAGTCTCGAGATTGCTCCTGTTTACGGTGTCTGTTTTCTGGGATCCCGTAATTGGACCATTCGTTCGAAGCAAATGCCGCAACTTCAATGTTTCTGCTGTGAGAAAGCGCGCCCGCTACTTCCGCTTCCTGGCGGATCAATCGAGACGGAAAGATGAGTTCGTATAATGGACTCAGCTAATGCGAAGCTCGCACGCTGTGCGCGCACATTCTGCGCCTCAATAGCCGCTCGCGCATAGCACGTCCCGCTAAAACCCACTCACCATTCCTGCAGAGCACCAGGAAATCAAAGTGCGCAAGCGCATCGCGCAAGTCTCGGAAGAGCGGCGGCAGCAGGAGCAGGAGGAACTAGAGCGAGCGTCAAAACCGGTGCGGAAAACGGTCGAGCAGCTCAAAAAGCTGCTCAAACCGCGGGGGATCGTCAGGAAACCGGACCCGAGACTGGACCGACCGGTGTTCCGGTTCTCGGCAATCGATGTGGGCGCTCCGCCGGAATCCGTTGCGGCCGACACTGATGGAAGCCACGTGGCGCTTAAAGACTGGTTGGAGGCGCAGGGGCCAGCCACGGCCGCGGCGGAACGGTTCGCGCGGAGGAGTGACGTCAGCAACACGGTCAGTCCGCGGGAGGCTGAGGTCAGCAGCTGGATGGCTCTGTTCAGCAAAAAGGTGGTGCGCGAGCAGAGACCGGAATGGAGAGCGGAACGGGGACCGGAAGGTCGACCGGAGTCGCGGGAGAGCGAACGAAGCGCGTCCAGCAGTGTCGTCAGCAGGCCCGGAAAACCCGGGCGGCTTTCCCTGCCCGCGCTGCGGCACGTGCCCGAGGGGGAGGTCAGCAGCTGCAAGCTGAGCGACGCGTGTCAGCCGTCGCTGTCGCAGCTGCTCGCGGCCGCGGCCGCGAGCGCGCGCGTGCACCGAAAGTCCGAAGGGGCGACCTCGCAACTAGAGTGGGCGCCGCAGGGTCGCCGGAGGAGCTCGAGAAAAGTGACCGGGGCAAACCACCGGGTGCATCCGACGGTGGGCGTTGAGTCCGGGGAAGAAGTGGTCGGGGTCGCGAATAAGGTGGCGTTGATAGCCAAAGGGCTGAAGCTTGGGGCGCCGCTTGCCGCGTCCAACGTGCGACGACATTCGTTGTCGTTGTCAAATTAGTCGTCTATAGAACGGAAGTCACCGTACGTCTGGCCGACTGGCACTGAGCGATGCTGGTAGTCTCTGAATGACCTGTGCAATCAAATTGATTTCATCTATTCTACACACGTTACTTCACTACTCAGTGCCTGTAAACAATCGTCTGCATGGGCGCGCGCGGCACCAATCTCTCAATTTGTCAATCTGTACGTACTCCACACATGCCAGTTGGGCGTGCTGGCACATGGCGCGTATCCCGTGGGAGGCTCGTCTGAGTCATATACTGAGGAAGCTGTCATGTCATGCGTGATCGACTGGCAGCGGCTCAATGTTGACCTGGGTTCCAATAAAGTTCGATTGCGCATGGGAGCAGTGATCATATCATTCAGTGACCGATCCCAATCTGACGTGAAGACCGCGCGAGCGTGACGGTGCACATCCTGACGTTGATTGAAGTCCACTCGTGACTTGTTTGTAATATGCATCCAATAATGATCTCAGCTGCATGGCACGTGGGCGCTGCAAACAGAGCATGCACTAGGAGCATATCACGTGGCATGTTTGCCTGCCGACGGTCAGGATACATGTTCATGTTGATCTAGCTGAACTTCCGACGGAACTTAACTGAACTAATCCGGAACTTATTGCACTATACTTGCCAAATTGTGCAGTGCTTGGCAAAGGCGCGGCGCCGCCGCGCGGGGCCGCACAACCCTCTTGACAGCGCGGGCTCATCATGGCACTATCATATAGTGCGCACTTGGAGCTTAACTTGGCAAGTTTCTTGACGTGTACCGTCAGAGGCTGTAGCCAACCCACGGGTTGGATCCGAACCGTATACCAGTCAAGCTTGGGCAATATATCTTCAACGTTAAGATATCAAAAGGTCAGAGGCTGTGAGAGACCAGATGCCATGATGGTTGTGGCGCCACGACGGTTGGCAACGATATACAGCAATGCAGCGGCAGGGTCGCATTTCACATGCCAATTACGGAAGGTCAAACCCTGCCACGTACTTCATCATGACAGCAATGATATGCTGGCAATTGACTCAGACACATTGAAAGACATTTGGTCAAACCCACTGCTGCAAGCATGCTTCCCAGCCTGTCCATGCACCAACCACTGAATGCTACCGTTTGCAATATCTGCTCTGTTTATGCCAAGAAGAATGCACATCCTTTGGTTAGACTTGTCTTACAAAACCATTGGTGAGGCTGTTGGCAAACCCTGAACGTCTAATTGCTGGAAACGGATTCGTCAACACACAAGCTGGTATCCACAGGAGCTAAGGAAGCTAGGGGCTACCCTAGATGTCGGAGCTGAACTTGCTAGGAAACAGTCAAGGTTTTCCAAAGTCATTGTGAAACTTCGATGTATAGGACTGGAGCCAATCCTGACGGTCGTCCATAGGCGTCAACTTTCGTCACCTGCAGTCAAGGCAGTCCCAAACGTTCAGCAAATCGAAAATGTGAGGAAAATATTCCAACTGATCTGCCTACATCTCCAAGATTTAAGTTGAGGATCTAAGGGGAGTCAAAGTGCACCACAGAGCCTGATCGGCCTCGCCCCATAGAAACTGATCCTTCAGAGTCCTGTAGAGATCAGGAATCAGTTCTTCCATTAAGGACCCACTAAAGGAGAGCAGAAACTTGAAGCTTGCCCGACCTGAGATGCAAGACACCTGGCTTATATGCAACCACATCCGTAGGGTTTCAAAGTCTGAGCTTTACAGTTAAGACTCAGGCTAATGTTCTTCACGGTCAAGACAAAGTCGAGATTAAAGTTCAGATTGAGGTAAGTTTACGGTCAGGGGTAGGCTTAGGCTTAGGCTTAGGGTTAGAATTGGGGTTAGGGTTAGGGTTAGGGTTAGGGTTAGGGTTGGGGTTACGTCTTACATGGTACCAGCCCTCCACTTCGTACTGAATCTGCACAACGTCACCCACTTTCAGGTCCACTTCATCCGCGCCACCCGCCTCAAAGTCGTAGATCGCCTTGCCCATTCTAGGGGGTTCCCCGTTCTGACCGAACACGGTCTTCCCGGACCCCCCCGCCGAAGCTTCGGAAAGCGTGCTGAGGCCGCGCGTGTGGCTCGGCCGCGATTGGGACGCTGAGACGCTGTCGAAGTGAGCGTTGCCGCCTCGGGCGGCGGTGGGGCTCGAAGCTGCACGAAGGAATACGTAGGACAGCGGTGAGACTGGCAGTGCATTGACAATCTTCGTAATGTGGTAGTTCTTTTTGGTTAAAAGGAGTACCGATTCTTTGAAGAATTGAGTCCTGCGTTTCTGGAAGCCGAAAACTCCTCGTATTCAGAGGGACGTTATCGTGACAGACTCTCACCACTGGTCGACCATAAAAGAGAGCTTCGGAAGAGACGTGGCGAGTCCACCAGGAGCTATACCGTTTACAAGACCCAGACAATCTTCCGATCCTTGCCGCTGGTGGACCAGTCAGGGGATCGTCGAAAAAACACGTGGATAACTACACTGAACGCTCCAATTCAGAATTTCCCGCACTCCGCGACAGTCTCGTGACAATTCTTACCGCAGGTAGACCAGTCAAGGGACGTCGGAAGACACGTGGCGACTTTGGTAAAGGGACCCGGAGGATTGGAAAAGGATGAAAGCGAAACCCGGCACTACGAGACGCAACAATCCATACCAGACCGCTTGAAACGTCACCATGACATTCTTCTCACCGCTCGTGGACCAGTCAAGGGAGCGCCGGAAGACACGTGGCGACTCGTTGGTGATGGAACCGGAGAAGGGGGAGGAGGTGGACGCGCCTCCTTCTCGAGACGGCGAGGCGAAGCCGAGTGGCGAGAATGTCTGGACCTTGAAGCTGCCGGGGCGCTCGAAGATGCCGCCGCTAGTTTGCATGGACGATGCGTCTGACTGCAAAGTGAGCAGACTTTTCTCTAGTACTTTTGTGAAATCTGGTGGGTTTTTGCTTTTCGTATCTCAGGGAAGACAGACTGGAGCGGTGATAATGTAGAAAACTGAAGCTGCCCGGGCGCTCAACACCGCCGTCGCTAATCTGCATAAAAGAGGCGTCCGACTGCGCAACAAGGAGAAACTCTAGCTTTCTTAGTGTCGAATATTAGCGCATTCCTGGCTTTGGGAGCGGAAGCCGAGCGGCAAGAACGTCTGGGACCTTGAAAAGCTGCCTGGCGCTCAACGCTGCCGCCACTGCTTTGTATGGACGAACAATTCACTGCGGAGCGAGGGGAGCTCTCATTTTCGATACTCTATACTTATGCAACCTCCTGCTTTCAGTCTTTCACGGGACCGACGCCGAGCCGCAAGCACTTGTGCACCTGGACGCTATTTGCCCAAAGGGCGCGGCCAGCCTTTACTCTGCACTTTTTCGAGATATGACATTTTTGCGAAAGGCCCGGGAGTTTGAACCGCGAGACTTACAGTGGACGAGATCACAGACGAGGCGTCATCGTCCGAGTCCGATACCGCGCCCCCCCGCGCCTCCTCCTGTTCCTCCAACATTGTGCTCGCCCATAGATCGTCGTAGTTGACTGGCGCGTCCGGCTCTCCGGGGGGGGGTCCCTTTTCGTCGCCCAGACTGCCGATGACTTTGGGGACCGCCCCCCCCAGAAAATCGTTCACCAGGTCCATCCCCGGGGGGGTCCCCGCCCAGGGGTCGTCGGCTGGGGTCGGCCCCCCGTTTTCGGCGGGAGCGGGGGAGGGCTGCAAAGGGGATTAGCAGGCTGATTAGTAAAGAACTCCGAGACTCACGTATACGAAGAGAATACGCAGGCTGTTGGTAAAGAACTGAAACATGTCGCTCATCGGGCTTTGAAAGAGCAGCAGAAAAATGGTCAGGCGTGGTAGACCTCTGGTCAAGCGAGTTACGTTTTGTCTTGACCAGCAATGAAGCCGGCCTCGTTAAAACGTCGTTCAAAAGTGGCAAACCTGCCAATCTTGTTTGCCCACACAATCATAACAACGACACGACGAGACATCCCTGAGGCGACGGCTTCAACTCTTGGGAAGACCAAGAGGTGCACCCAATAAGAAATACATGGCAGATTGAAAGCACTCCGAAGCGAGCTTGTGATTTGGGGGAAAAAACCCGCCAGTCGTCAGATCCCATAGACCTGTGAATGCGAAGAACGTCCACATCAAACACGACTCTTCTCACCTGCATATCCATGTACATTCCTGGCCCGCTAACGGTCAAGTTCGCAATGCCCGTCGTAACCTTAGCATCATGTGGAGTCAAATGCGAAAACATTCATCGAAATTTTACGTCAATCGGGAGACCCTACAGAACCTCACAACATAAGTCTTTCACAAACGGAAGGAAAATCGAAGTTCCTTTTCACCTGCATATCCATGTACATTCCCGGCCCGCTAACCGTCAAGTTCGCGATGCCCGTCGTAACCGCAGCATCGTTCGGAGTAACCGGCGTTGATGTCGTCACAATGTTGTGCGCCAGCTTGTATTGTTCGATGAGGTCAGCACTCGTTGGACCGAGCGGAAGGTACTTGGAGCGGGGGACGAAACAGAAGAGGGAGACGAGGCGAAGGAGGGTGTCGTGCGTGTTAAAGAGCGACTCGAGCTGGGGTTCGGTCCACTCTTCTTTGCTGTTCTCATGTTGCCGAAGTTCCCTGCAAAGTTAGGCAGATATTTTAGGGTTTCAGTATTCCAAGGCTGGTGCCGAGAGGGAGGTGTTACTTGAAGCAGAGAGGCAGACGAGTCGAAGAAGGGCGTCGGTGCGTGTTGTGTAGCCACTCGAGTTGGGGTTCGGTCCACTCTTCTTTGCTGTTCTCATGTTGCCGAAGGTCCCTGCAAAAGTAGGCAGATATTTTAGGGTTTCAGTATTCTAAGGCTGGTGCCGAGTGGGAGGTGTTACTTGAAACAGAGAGGGAGACGAGTCGAAGAAGGGCGTCGGTGCGTGTTGTGTAGCCACTCGAGTTGGGGTTCGGTCCACTCTTCCTTGGAACCTCGTGTTGCCGGAGATCCCCGCAAGCATGACAACGAAAATCCGAATTCAACTGCAATAAGAAGGTTCCGGGTAGAATCTTCGAACATGCCTTCGAAGCACATGAAGGACTTCCAGGCGAAGGAGGGTGTCGTGCGTGGTGTAGAACGACTACAATTGGGGTTCGGTCCACCGTTCCTTGGATTTTCATGCTGCTGCAGATCCCTTTAAGAGCTTTGCTAAAGTTTAGAGTTAAGGTTAAGTAAGTCTTTTCGACTAGGACATTGCAAGGTCCCCCTTCCAGCAGAGAGAGAGGCGAAGGAGACCGTGTATTGAAGCTCGGTCCACTCCTCTTTTGAACCCGACCTTGTCGCTTAACTTTTCCAACATTTACCGCCCTCCACTCTACTCTACCCTTAAGAAACATTCAAATTTAAGCGGTACTGCGCAAGAACCGCTTGCCGCACAAACCTGGTCCTGTGCCGTGTAGATCTCGTCCAGCATCCGCAGCATCGGCGCGCCCACGTTCGCGAGCCCCAATCCGGACCCCTATCAATATCCCAAAACAAATTTGACCGGCAAATCTGATGCAATTGCACTTTCAGGAAACCTGAAAATAAATGTTCTGCGCAAAATTCCGTCCCCCTACTCACCGCACAAACTGGTCCTGCGCCGTGTAGATCTCGTCCAGCATCCGTAGCATCGGTGCGACCACGTTCGCGAGCCCCGACCCGGACCCCCCCTCGTCCTCCCCGCTACTAGCCACCCCCTGTTGCTCTTGCAGCTTGTGCTTCAGCTTCTCGCCGCGCAAGAGTGACGTGAGGAACTCGTAGCACTGGAGCCGGTACGGTTCGCCCGAGCGGAGGGCGACGGTGATGATCGCCTGAGCCGCCACAACACGTACCTGCAAGAGCCAGCGCTTGAAAATCAGGATCCGCAGTTAGCTCGTCTTGAGTAGGAATGTACAGACTACAGTACCTTTTGTTTGTCCGATGAAAGGCAAATGTCGTTGACGTACAGGCCGATGGGCATTCTTCACAGTGCAAAGCGTATCAGAGGAGCCGGTAAGGCTTGCCGGAGCGGCGGGCAACGGTGATGATCGCCTGCGCAGCCACTGCACGTACCTGCGCAAGTTCGAACTTAACAGTAGGATCTTGTTTTGAAGACACGATGATCAAAACGGAGTAAGTTTCCACACCCCCGCTGCCACGAGAATATGTCCGTTCCAATTTGCCATCGAAATCCACTCAGGCTGCGGCCATACAGAAATGAGCACCGAATACATAGGATAGATGCTGCCACATTTGACTCACCTCCTACAAACTCTCGCCTTTCACTTCTTCTTCCCGTTGCATCTTCTGCATCATTAGCTTCTACCAAGCCCGAATCTGACTATCACCGGGACCTAAGGTATCTGACAAACGACTTCGACAGAAAAATCCAACTTACCTCCCAGCTACTCACCACTGCGCACCGCTGGAGCCGTGCCAGCGCTGCCGCAAGCGTCGGGTTTCTCACTTCCGCAGGCATGACCATCTTCTCCCCTTCCATCCCCACCATAAAAGCATACCCAGCGGATTAGATACACGTGATCATGCGACAAGAGTTCTGGATCACTGAGAACATACGTGACTCACCTCCCAGCTACTCGCTACCGCGCACTGCTGCAGTCGGTCCTCACTGTCGCACCATGACAACCGTGTTTTCTTCCATCATCCTTCAGTG